CGGTGGCATCGGGTCCTCTTCTTCAGCTCCTCGATCTTCTTACGAGCTTCCCTCTGGTACTCCATGCTGCCCTTGCCGCGGCCGCCGGACTTCCCCTTCGGCTCACTCACGTCACGGTAGCCCCTGGACGTCTTGCGGTCGCGGACGATCCTCCTCGTCTCCTGCCAGCTGCCACGGCCTCCAGGTCCTGCTTGCCACGCCGCCAGCACCGCGTAGGCCTCATCCTCGTCAAGGATGTCCTCCTCGTTGATCTCCTCCTGGTCGGAGCCCTCCAGCGCCATCAGCGCTTGTGCGATCGGGTCCTCCCCGTACAGCTCGTCATCCTCATCCACGTAGAACGCCTTGCCACTCTTCTGCTGCCCCGAGGTGTCCCCCTGGTAGCTCCTCGTGGTCTTCTCAAGCGAGCTGTCGTCTCGAAGCCCCTTGAGCGCCGTCCTCACATCATCGTACGCCAGTGAGCCCGACGTCTGCAGGATCACGGCCATGCGCTCCGTGTGGTCCAGCTTCGCCTGCCGGACGAGGATGTAGCCCTGCACATCGTCCAGCGTCACCTGCAGCTTCCTCAGCCTGTCGAACGCCTTCTTGATCCTCATCGAGTGCTGCTGCGGGCTCTCTCCCTTCTTGCGCTCCGACCCGTAGAACGTGTGCTCGAACTCCATGTACTTTTCATACACATTCTTCGGCATGATCTCCTGCTCGAGCGCCCTCACGATGTTCTCTACTCCATCTTCGCCCTCGAGCTCGCTCTGGTCGAGACCTTCCACGATGCTCTGGATCTGGTCGTCTCCACCCTCCAGAATGCTGTAGTAGGCGTGGAGACCCCGCTGGTGAGCTGGAATCCCCGTCGCCACCATCGACCAGATCCGCAGTCTGCGCACATACTTCCGCAGCTCCTCGATCGTCGACCCCCTGATGGTGGGTGGCGGAACGTACCTTCCGGCACTCGCGCCCTCACGCGTGACCGGAGCCACGATCTCTTCACCGTCTTCGTCATCTCCCATGTTGTAGCGATGGGCCGCGATGTCTCCGCCGTGTGGTCACTGTCCACCGTGCTGTCTCTGAAACTCTGGTCCGAGGAAGCGCAACGCAGCGCTCCGCTACCACCGAACACGGTGGAGCGGCGGAAACGTAAGCGTGAGCTCTCGTATGCCTCCGTTTTCAGTATCAGCTCAGGCTAACATGTGTCTGCCTCCAAGGGGCCGAAGCCCCTGATCGAACCAAAAGGGTTGCGGAAAGGGGCTGAGTGTCTGGCATCCTCAGAAGGCCTCTAGAGGGACCCTGGGTCAACTCGCACAAACACCTTTCTGGACAATCGCTGATGTTGGCCTCTGGGGCCTTCTTCGGAAGCCTCTTGGAGGCCTTTTGGGGTGTCTTGGACGACTCTTGGTCCGTCTGCGGGCCATCTTGAGCGCCTAGAGCGATCGCTCGGCGACTCGGGGCCCTCTTGGACTGTTCTGTGGCCTCTTGGGGTCCTCTCGATCCGTCTTGAAGCCCTGTTGGGTCCGAAAAGTCAAACGACAAGACGCGACAAGCCCCGCCAAATTTGAGAATTTCGGGTCCGGGCCCCGTGAAGATCCCTCAGGGTTCAGGTCTGAGGCTCAGGCGGGTAGAGAAGCGACCCGAGGACACGCTCATTCCGTGCCCACAGGCACGGCAGGGGATTCTGCATCGGCAGATCAGGGGGGGGGGGCGCAGATAAGAAGTCGGATAAGAAGTACCCGGCACGATCCCAGTTCGGTGCATGTTGTTTGCCGAACGTACATGCGCATGACGACGTTCAGTACACCACGTCAGAGCGTACCATATATATATATATATACATATATATGTTTATATGTATAACTATATACATACATATATACATACATACGTACGTACGTACGTACGTACATACATACATACATACATACATACATACATACATACGTACATACATACATACATACATACATACATACATACATACATACACACATACATACATACACATACATGCATACATACATACATACATACATACATACATACATAAACCCATACATACATACATACATACATACATACATACATACATACATATATATACATATATATATATATATATATATATATATATATATATATATATATATCCGTAAGGGCTTCGCCCCCTGCCGCCGGCCCCTTCTCGCGGATCATGGGCTGTGCAGGAGCTAAATCACGAGGCTTCGGCGCCGCCGTGAAGCAGCATCGGCAAGAGAAACTGAGATTCTGATGATATTGTTGAACTCAGTGTTGTATTTTGAACATGCCCCCGTATGCTGTGCACTGAGGTTTCCCACAGAATTTCGGACATGTGGCAAATCCCATTGGTTTTTCGACCCTGACCCTGCTGATCTGCGTGAGGGGCGCCGCCGAATTTCAGACATGTGGCAAATCCCATTGGTTTTTCGACCCTGACCTCGCCGATCTGCGTGAGGAGTGCCGCCGAATTTCAGACATGTGGCAAATCCCACTGTTTTTTCGACCCTGACCCCGCCGATCTGCGTGAGGGGCGCCACCGAATTTCAGAAATGTGGCAAATCCCATTGGTTTTTCGACCCTGACTCCTCCGATCTGCGTGAGGGGTGCCGCCGACTTTCAGAAATGTTGCAAATCCCATGTGTTTTTTTGACCCTGACCCCGCCGATCTGCGTGACTAACCAGGCTGATTTTCGGCTCCCACCCCTCGCGCGTTCTACAACAAGGAACAGTTAGCAGCATTAAGCAATACTGTAACAGTATGTAGTGGGAACTGGAAACTGGAACTGGCGCAGGGAACAGCAAACCCTCGTCCTACAGCCTGGTGGCCCCACAAGGGGGTCAGCGGATTTGCAGAGCAGCGCTCTGTAGCATTTGATATCGGCATCACCGCATCGGGTAACATGGCACATCGGGACAGTATGGTACACGCTTGCAGAACATGGCAGGCGTAATATTGCGCAGCTTTGCAGAGCCCGACAGATCACGAGATACCATTGCGCGGCATGGCAACGCGCAACATGACGCCGCGCGCCAGTCCGCGACATTCGGTGTTGCACTGCACGGCACAGTGTTGAGTATGCAATCGCACGCCTTGTCACAGCATGGCAGCGGATGGCGGCATCGCGCAGCGACAGACAGCACCCCAGCGCACTGCACTGCTTGCCGTGCGGACGGCGCAGAGCCTTGGCATCGCTCGGACGTGTGCATTTTTCCTTCGGTGAGGACCTTTGGCGAAAAAAACCACGCACGAAACCGAAAAAAAAACACAGGGAATGGACGTCCGAGCGATGGCCAGGAGCGGCATGGCGCGGCACAGCGCCTGGGGCACACCCCCGGGCGGCCGACCCCGAGGGCCCGGTCCCGAGGGGCCGGGGCGATGCGCAGCGGCCTCGCGCGGCAGAGGGCTCGGGCGACCCGAGGGGCCTCTCGGGCCGCCCCCCCCGCACGTGCACTCCGAGCACACGTGCGACAGCGCCGCGGCGTCGTTCTCGCTCGTCTGCGTGCTAGGGGGCCCCCAGGCGCGCCTAGGCGCTCCAGGCGCTCCTGGGCGCTCCGAGGCGCTCCCAGGAGTACTCGGGCGCTGTCAGACGCTCCGAAGCGCTCGCAGGCGCTCCCATTTGCTCCCAGGCGCTCCCCGACGCTCCCAAGCGCTCCCAGGCGCTCCCAGGGTCTCCCGAGCAACATGCGGACCCTGCCCCCTGCCCCCCAGGATTTCTGGGGGGAGGCTGGGGGTCACTTCGCTCTCGGGAGCTCCCGCACGAAGAAGTGAGTCTCTCCCCCTCCCCCTCAGGAATCGTGGGAGGTCGTGCTCCCCCGGCCCGCGGAGGAAGCGGGAAAGCGCAGCCAGGCCCAGTGGCCCAGTCTCCCAGGCTGACTTGTTTTCTTGGGAGGAGGGGAAGGAGGAGGAGGAGGAGGAGGAGGAGGAGGAGGAGGAGGGCAATATCTGAGATGGAGCCTGGGCGCAGCAGGCACTTGCCCCCTCTTCTCCACGTCGTCGTCGCCGTCCTTATCTCCCTCCTCGCTCGCTCCTTTCCCCGACGATCTTGCCTGCTCGCCCTCCCCCTCCTCCTCCTCTTCCCCCCCCTCTCCCTCTTCCAGCCCCTCGCCCTCGTCCTCCATCCTTCCCCCTCTCGATGCCTCCTTCCCCTTCTGGATCCCAGTTCTACTTCCAATTTCCCTTCCTGATGTGTTCCCCTCTCACTTCAAGTGCCTTTTCCCCGTTCGTGCTGGTCCCTTTCCTTTTCATGGCCCCTTGCTGTGTCCCATCCGCTTTCCGCTTGAGTTTGCTGTGTCACGTCTCCGTCTGGTCTTTTTTTCGTGTGCCATCCTTATTCATCTCTGCTTCCCCCTTCCCTTTTCCATTTCCTTATGCCTCCCTGTCACCGTGCATTTTGCCATTGTGCCCAGGCCTTTCCCAAGGCATCTCGCTTTTCGTTCCTAGTCTCCGTCCTCTCACCCTTCCATGTGTCTTTCCCACTTCACTTCCCCTTGCCCATCCCTGTCTCGCTTGATCTGCCCTTGCCTTTTCCCTCGGCTCTTCATACTCATGTTTGTTGCTCCCCTTTTCCATTCCCCTTCCGCTCCCTCTTCTTAGTGCCCTTCCTTGTTCCATTCCCGTTTTCCCTTTTGTCCATCCCCTTTTCTTTCCCGTTCCTATATCATGTATCTTCCCCGTCGCATGTTCCTTATCATTCATTAATTGCCCTTCCCGTTTCCATTCCTTATTTTGTTTTCTTTATCACCCTCCCTTCCTATCCCCCTCTTCTCACCCGCTCCAGCTTGCCTTCCCCAACTTGTGTCTTTACCGATTTGTTTGTTGTGTTTGTCCGCCATCTCGCTTGGGCCCTACTCAGTAGCCATTCTGGCTCCAGCCAGCGCTGCATCGCCTGCGGGGGCCAATGGTTTTCAAGGGTTAGAGGCCGCATCGGTGGACCACTTTGTACCCGGAGAAGGAAAAGTTTTGAGCCACACCAAGGATTATTTCGACGTCGGTCTAAATGCCAAGCGGTCTGCCCAAGGCAGCAGAGGTTGACAAGGGCAATGACGAGGGCGTGGAGATCAGAAAGGTCACAAAAGAGGAGGCGGCCTTCATCTTGGGTCAGGTCGTGCGGTCAGAAAGGGTGGGTTGCGAAAGCCGCCGCACGAAGCCAGCTTCGTCCACTCACACTTTTGAATTCGTGGTCGTTCCCAGTCCCGCGAGGCGCTTGTAAAGCCAGCTACACATGGCTGGTTCGTAATTTCTCCTTGGTCCCCCCCCCCCTTCGTCCGCTCCGAGCAGGGCGGCAAGACCAAGGCGAAGCTCTGCACGGTAAGCGGCGCGAACATCGAGCTGTCTGAGGCCTGGGGCCAGGATCGCTCTGCAGGCAGCCAGCTGCGCATCAGCGGGACCACGAAGCAGCGGAAGTACGCCAGGAAGTACGTGGAGTTCGTGATCGCGCAGAGGCTTTCGGGGGACGCGACCGGAACACCAACACTGATCCTGGGCCCAGGATCAGTGCACATACAGTCGGGGCCCTGAAGAAGGAACCCTTTTCGTTGGGGAGGGGCTCCTCGTTCTTTATTTGTTTCGCAGCTTGCCTCAGGTTGTCCTTATGTTTTCGAGCGGAAATCGAAGTTTAACTTATGGAAAAAAGGGGCCTCGTTCCTTATTTAGGGTTCCTTAGGTCAACACCCCGACTGTACGCCCTCCAAGGATTGGACCCGTCAAGATCGACAACCCAGACGCCCATGACGACCTGACCATCCTCGTGGTGCCCGCAGACACTGTCAGCTTCATCACTGGCAAGCAGGGGTCCTTCCTCCGACTGGTCGAGGAGGAGTGGGGGTCTCTCCTATTCTTCCTGCAGGTGAATCCCAAGAGACCACCGCAGAATGTTGACCCCACGCGCACGGAGCGGCTCGCGATTTTCGGTCCAGAGCGCCGGCGCCGCGGTGCCCAGCTCAAGGTGATGGCGGCCATCGAGATGAAAATCCAGGGATATTTCACCAAAAACGTGGGTGATAGCGAGAGTCCAGAGGCCGGCTTTGCGACGGATACGATGACCATCAAGGAGGAGGACTACAGCTACGCCCTGGGCAGGAGCGACCCGTCCGTCCCCCTGCTTCCCAGCCTCCCCCAACTCGCACCACCAGACGTGTCCGTAATTTGGCTGACCAGGGCGTTTCTTTTGATAATTGCTTGCAGTGCTTGGTTGTCTGGGTGAAAAAGTATCCTAGAGAAGGGCCCAGCCATGTGCAATTGTGCATACCGTCGTTGTGTGTATCGCCTTCGGTGGATCCCCTTATGGGGCCAAGGAGCATGTGAATGGTGTGCTACAATGGGACGGGGCCGCCATGCGGGCGCTGCCACTGGGGCCTGCACAGGGCCCCCTGTGGGGCCACGAAACGTGTGAGGGGTGTGTCGAATCGGGTTTCGGTGGAGCCCCCTTATGGGGCCACGGAACGTGTGAGGGGTGTGCCAAATCGGATGCGGGTACGCCATTCTGACTGCGCCGCTGGGGTCTTCAGAGGAGCTCCCTTATGTGGCCACGGAACGTGTGAGGGGTGTGTCGAATCGAATGCGGCTGCGCCATGCGGACTGTGCCGCTTTGGCCTTCGGCGGAGCTCCTTATGGAGCCTCGAAGCGTGCGAGGGGCGTGCCAGATCGGATGCGGGTACGCCATGCGGAAGGTGCCACTGGGGCCTTCGGCGGTGCTCCCTTTGGGGCCACGGAACGTTTGAGGGGTGTGCCAAATCGGACGCGGGTACGTCATGCGGATTGTGCCGCTGGGGCCTTCGGTGGTGCTCCGTTATGGGGCCACGAAACATGTGAGGGGCGTGCCAAATCGGATGCCAGTACGCCATGCGGGCTGTGCCGCTTTGGCCTTCGGCGGAGCTCCCTCTGGAGCCACGAAGCGTGTGAGAGGTGTGCCAAATCGGATGCGGGTACGCCATGCGGGCTGTGCCGCTGGAGAAGCCTTAGACGGAGCTCCCCATGGGGCCACGGAACGTTTGAAGGGTGTGCCACATCGGATGCGGGCACGTGTGAAGGGTGCGCCGAATCAGATGCGTGCACGCCATGCGGACTGTGCCGCTGGGGCCTTTGGTGGGGCTCCCTATGGGGCCACGAATCGTGTGAGGGGTGTGCCAAATCGGCTGCGGGTACGCCATGCGGACTGTGCCACCGGGGCCTTCGGCGGAGCTCACTATTGGGCCACGGAACGTATGAGTGGTGTGCCACAGCGGATGCGGGCACGCCATGCGGACTGTGCCGCTGTGGCCATCGGCGGAGCTCCCCATGGGGCCACGTAACGTGTGAGGAGTGTGCCAAATCGAATGCGGGTACGCCATGCAGACTGTGCCACTGGAGCTCCGGTGGAGCTTCTTTTGTGGCTACGAAGCGTGTGAGGGGTGTGCCAAATCGGACGCGGGTACATACGCCATGCGGAAGGTGCCGCTGGGGCCTTCGGCGGAGCTCCCTCCCTACAGGGCTACGAGACGTGTGAGGGGTTAGACAGATCGGATGCGGGTACGCTATGCGGACTGTGCCGCTAGGGCTGTCGGTGGAGCTCTCTCTGGGGCCACGAAACGTGTGTGGAGTGTTACACATCGGATGCGGGTACGCCATGCGGACTGTGCCCCTAGTGGGGCCACGAGACGTATGAGGGGTGTGCCACATCGGATGCGGGTACGCCATGCGGACACTGCCGCTGGGGCCTTCGGTGAAACTCTCTCTGGGGCCACGAAACGTGTGAGGAGTGTACCAAATCGGACGCGGGTACGCCATGCGGACTGTGCCTTTCGGGTTTTCGGTGGAGCTCTTTGTGGGGCCACGAAACGTGTGAAGGGCGTGCCGGAATGGCGGAGGCCACATGCAAGGGTGGGAGGATGGGGAGGGAGGAGGCGGTAGGGAGGAGGTGGGAGGAAGGCGGGAGAACGCGGGACGCTGTCTTGTCAAGACGAGGACCCAACACCACAGGATGGTTGGGACAAATCCAACAGTTACACGGATGGACGCTGACACCTTTTCCAATTGGGGTTCTCGCCTTAACGCCGCGCGCATTCGATGTGCAGCAACACAGGTGAAGGCAGAGTGTTATTCTCTCGATTTCGCAAGAGTCTCCCCACCGAAATATTACCGCGAATGCAATGCCACACAGCGGTTAAACAAGTGGAGGGCAGTTCCTTTACAACATGGGGATCTCGTCTCTGAGTTCATCAAATGTTTAATGACCAGAAGTGCACGCATGTGCATCAGTTACACGAATGGGGGACAGCTTAATTTTAACCAGTTGTTATCGTTGGACAAATGCTGATTTGTATGATCTTACTTTGCCCCATGTCTTATATCCCGATGGAAAGATGCAGTGCAGTTCTCTTACAAAACACAGCCCTCGCCTAAATGTCAGGCCCACAGGGTGCTCGTCTTTCAAGGTTTCGCTTCTTGCAGTTGAAGGGACGACATGCGTGGGCTTGTGGGGAGGCAGCTTGCGACGGGAGGGTTCATTGCAGCATCGTTGATACTTGTTATTGGGCTTCCTCTTCCTCCTTCTGACTTGGTCAAATGTGGCCAGCATGCCTTGCACCTATGCACGTACTATGCTGGGAAGCCCTCGGTCTGTTGCGCTACACGGGGAGGCCCACGGCTTGTCGGAAGAATTGTTCGGAGCCCGCTCCCCCCCCCCCCGCGCCTCGAAGTTCCTCCCCGTGCCTCATCAATGCCCCACGGGCTCTCGACCCCTTTCCCACGAGGTAGGTTCTTCCTTGAATTCGCTGTTGCGATCCTGCATGGAGAGGACCTCTTGAGGCCCAAAGTTGGCTGGACGCAAGAGTGACTCCTCGCCAGAGTGGCCCTCGGTCCGAGGTCATCGGGGACGCGGGGGGGCCAGATCCAAGCATGCAGGCCGCGATTGTCGCATCGCACGCAGCGATCAGCAGGCCGCGCACCAAGTGTCCCTCTTGCCTAGGGTCCTTCCTGCGTGTACCCGACAGGCCGCAGAGAAACGCGCGGCGCGTGCCCCTTGGTGGCGCCAGGGTTTGAGGCTGGCTGTCCCCGCTCTGGATCGGATGCCCCCCCATCTGCGGGCCTTGGGAGGATCTCCGCGGCCCCCGGAGGCCTCCGAGGGCGTCTGGATGCTTCCGGGCGCCCCAGAGAGGGTTCCGGAGGTCTCGATCTCCCTCGATATTGGTTTCAGGCTGATGAGGTTCGGGATTGGAGAAGAGTGCAGTCGGGGCGCTGGAGAAGGAACCCTTTTCGTTGGGGAGGGGCTCCGTGTTCCTCTATTGTTTCACAGCTCGCCTCAGGTTTTCCTTTGGTCTTCCATTGGAGATCGAACTTTAACTGATGGGAAAAGGGGGCCTCGTTCCTTATTTGGGGTTCCTTAGGTCAACGTCCCGACTGCGACACGCCGCCGTCGGGGGCCCGTCAGTGTGTTGCTCTTCCGCTGTTGCTGTCCACAACGCCCGGGTGCTCCTTCGGCCAGAGGTGCCGCGCGGGTAGGTTCCCCAACGGTGGCGTGTCGTTGATGTCCAGCTGTCTGCGGCGGGTCCCTCCGCCGCCGTGCCGGCCCAACACGCTGGGTGGCGACCTGTTTCGGGGGGTGGGAGAGCCGTGATGGTGATAGCGACGATGTTGATGCCGATGTTGATGTCGATGTTGATGGTGGTGAGGACGAGGATGATGATGATGATGATGATGATGACGATGGTGATGATGATGATGGTGATGGTGATGGTGATGGTGATGGTGATGATGAGGATGAGGATGATGATGATGATGATGGTGATGATGATGCTGATGATGATGGTGATGGTGATAGTGATGGTGATGATGAGGATGAGGATGGTGATGGTGATAATGGTGATGATGGTGCTGGTGATGATGACGATGATTATGATGATGATGATGCTAATGGTGATGAAGACCATGATGGTGATGGTGATGGTGGTTGTGATAATGATGGTGATACTGATGATGATGCTGACTTTGATGATGATGATGATGATGCTGTTGTGATGAGGAGGATGAACAGGATGATGATGATAATGATGATGATGACCACGACGACGATGACGATGACGTTGATGATGATGACGACGATGGTGATGATGACGATGGTGATGATGATGAGGAGTAGGAGGGTGGGGATGAGGATGAGGATGCGGATCATGATGATGATGATGATGATGGTGATGATGATGATGATAATGGTGATGATGATGGTGGTGATGATGATGATGATGATGATGGTGATGGTGATGATGATGATGATGATGATGATGATGATGATGATGATGATGATGATGATGCGATTGACGATTAACGTGATGCTTATGAGGAGGAGGAGGAGGAGGAATATGAGGATCAGGATGAGGATGAGGATTGGGATGAAGATGAGGATGATGATGATGATGATGATGATGATGATGATGATGATGATGATGATGATGATGATGATGATGATGATGATGATGATGATGATGATGAAGGTGATGATGACGAGGAAGAGGAGCAGGAGCATGAGGAGGAGGAGGAGGAGGAGGAAGAGGAAGAGGAGGAAGAGGAAGAGGAAGGCCGTCCTATGACACCCTTCATCTTCACTAATTGAAGCTCTCATGGAACTCGTTTGGGTCGTCCTGGGCTGTCTTGGCCTCCTGGGGGGCAGTCTTGGGGTTCCCTCGGGACCCTATTGAGCCGCCCTGGGGCCCTCTCACGCCGTCGTGGTGCTCTCTTTGGCCGTCTTGTGGCCTTCTTGGCCGTATGGTGGGTACCTGGGGGTCGTTGTGGGGTCGTCTGGGGCCGTGATAAGGCCTTCTAAGGCCGTCCTGGGTCCGGTTCCCACAGGAGACCCCCTTGGACCTTCTTGGGGCCAAATTGGCCGCCTCTTGGGCAATCGTAAGACCTCTTGGGCCATCTTGGGACCCTTCTGGGGGCCTCTTGGGTCGTTTTGGGGCCAGCGTGGAGACTTCTTGGGCCGTCTTGAGCTGACGGAAGCTCGGGAAACCAATGATTTTGGTTTCCTCGGGCCCTGTTGGGCAGTCTTGCGACCATATTGTGCCGCTTGGGGGCCATCTGGCCCTTCGATGCATCTTGGGCCATCTTGGAGTCCTTGGTTGCCTGCATGGGCGTCTTGGAAGCTCGGGACGCAGATCCACTGTTTTTTACGAGGGGTCGCGACCTCGGGAGCGCGGGTCCGTAGGTTTTGCGAGAGATCGTGGCCTCGGGAGGGGGGGGGCGAGGCATGCAGGTAGTACCCGTAGAGAGGGGGCCCTCAGCATGATATGGAAGACCCAACAGACAGCCGTTGGTATTCTTCCACGCCTCGGCGTGGAGAAGGCACGGTGGCGGACTGTTCCTAACCATCCTGTGGTGCTTCGCTTCGCAGAGGCAGCGCCCCGCGCCTCCTCTCCCCTCTCCTCCTTTCTCCTCCTCCTCCTCCTCCTCCTCCTCCTCCTCCTCCTCCTACCCCTCCTCCTCCTCCTCCTCCTCCTCCTCCTCCTCCTCCTCCTCCTCCTCCTCCTCCTCCTCCTCCTCCTCCTTCTCTTCTTTCGCCAGCTGTACCACGCCCCCAACAGCTTCCTTAAAGTTGACGGCGTTCGCCACTTCATGTTCCCGATCGAGTCTGGCGTGGCTCAGGGCTGCCCTGCGAGCGGCTCGGCGTGGGCGATCGCCATGGACCCGCACGTTCGCCACATCGCCTCGTTCGTGGAGACCGTCGACGGCATGCCTGACTACGACAAGGGCTACCTGGGCGTCTGCGCGGACGACACTGGCCTCCTCACGTTCTCGTTCAACACGCTGCGCGCTGCCTCTGAGCCCTCTGCCGCCGCGGAGGAGCTTGCGCCCCTCTCCCTGAAGCCTCGCAAGTGTGTCGTCGTCCCGCTTTGGGCGAAGACGTCGCCTGCCACCATCGCTCAAACGAAAGCGCTCCTGGCCGAACTCTGTCCTTCCTGGGGTGGCTTTTCGGTTTCGGGGCGAGCCAAGTACCTCGGGACCTTCCTCGGACCCGCGGCCTCCCTCGCTCACCACTGGCTCGCCCTTGGGCAGAAATTGTGGCAGCGCGGGAATACTTCACACCTTGTGCAGAGTGGCAGTGACGCCACCGTTCGCCTTCATAACACCTCAGTCGTTTCAACGCTCAGCTATGCCTCGCAGTTCTTCCCGCTCGATCAGAAGATTGCCCGCCGTGAACATTACATTTTCCACCAGATGCTCAGTCTGCCGCCTGACACATTTCGCAAAGTTGATCTCATTGCCATGGCGGAGTGGTGCCCGCCTCCTGCCCCTCGCTCAGCTCAGATCTCAACTGTCGCCGCCGCCATTCGTTCAGCCACTTTCACGCTTCGTGGGGAATGGGAGCCATTCTTCACTCGACTGCAGGACACCGCGTGGGAGGAGAGTACGGTTCACTCCTTCCACCGGTGGGAGCAAGGGCAGTGGTCTCCGCCCTTCTGGGAAGAGCCCACTTCCATCGTGCAATTCTACCATGCCTTGTCGTGTGGCAAGCGTGCCGCCCCGCTTCCAGCAGCTGCCGTGGCCGCGGCGAACCGCGCAGCTGCCCGCGAAATTCGCGAGGCCCCGAGTGCCGAGCCACCGCGCCGCCCCAAGGTGCAGCGCGCGGTCGCGCTCACGCTGCAGCGGGCCTCCTTCTCATCGCCCTTCACAGTCACGCTCGAGAAGCGTATTGCAGCCTGGGGCGTTTCTCAGCCGCCGCCGCCCCCAGAGCTCGCGACGCGCTGGGCTGCTCTCACGAATGCCCTGCGCACCGTCCGCCCGAGCTGGCGCTGGGCGGCGTCTAAGACTCTCGCAGGCGGATGGACGACGACCCACCGCATGCACGTTTTCCAGCAGAAGCCGCGTGTGTTCGGGTGCCCAGCGGCACCCGATTCATTCCCTCGCTACCTCTCCTGCTCGGTCCTCCTGAGCCTCCTCTGGTCCCCCGACTCGCCCCCCCTCCGCAACGCGCTTACACATTGGGGCTTGGGCCCCGCTGCAGCCTATCCGTCTGGACCCGCGAACGAGCTCTCGTTAACGCGGTCGATTCAGCGGATCGCGCTCGCCTTTCACTTCTTTAACAAAGTGAAGCGCGCCTCGCCGACCCCAGCTACGATAGCTGAAGGGTTGAGCGCCGCCAAAGCCCTGCTCTGGAAGTAGACGCGCGGTGGGCGGACAGGAGCGGACGGACTTCTTGCCCTCGTCTCGCTTCTTGCCCGCTTGCCCTCGTCTCTTCCTCTTTGAGTACGTGCACTCATCTTCCTCCTCCTCCTCCTCCTCCTCCTCCTCCTGCTCCTCGTCCTCCTCCTCATCGTCGTCCTCCTCTCCCTCCTCCCTCCGTAGCCATTTTGGCTCAAGTCCGCCCCCTCCGTGGGATCTCGGGCTTGGGCCGAAATCAGTTCCACAGCTATTTCGCCCGAGGCCCCCTGGCCGAGCGCCGCGCCGCCAGCGTTTGAGGCCGTCGGATCCGTATGTCCACGCGATGGCGCCTGCTGCCTCTGCTGCTGACGCTGTTCGTCATGCCGCACCGCAGGAGTGCTGACGCTCTGCATCGCCGCGCATGCCAAGCTCTGCAAGGCGGTCGCGGCCCAGCACGCGTTGGCAAGCGCCAGACTCTTCAACTACACGTTCTCCTTCCGCACGTTGCTGCGCCCCCAGCCGCCTCGCGGGTGATTACTCCGCTGGGCACTTGCAGGGGCAACGAGCTGCCGCTGGTCGCGAACTTCTTGCAGCTGATTCGCGGGCGTCCTCCTGGCGTTGCCCATGGTCCTGAAGTTCGGCCTCGCCGACGCGAAGAGGCAGATGACGCACCAGCCCATGGTGATCCTGCTCGTGCTGCTGCCGCCGAGGGCCGCCATCCTCCGCGACACCATTCCGTTCTTCTGCATGTGCAACCCGTTCATGATTCCGAAGTCCGCCGCCCGGAGGGTGGCCTTCCTGACCTCCTGCAAGCTGTTCCCGCTCCTGACGCTCGCGCTGACACTACCGCCGGCGCTGATGGTGTTCTGCATTCCCGACCCGTTCAACGATCCGAAGTCCGCCGACTTGCTGGCGGCCTGCATGACCTACTTCTCGACGCTCTCCCTGCTGGTGCTGGAGACGCTGCTGCTGACGTCGCTGGAGACGGCGCCCCTGATAGTGCTCTGCATGAAGCTGCCGCTGCTGAATCCCGTCCCCGCGCCGCTGGTGTGGCTCTTGCTGCCCTGCGCCCCCTTGTGCGCGAATGGCAGCGCGTAGCACGGCGTAAGACGCTCCTCCAGAACAGGCCCTTCGTCCGCTGCTTCGACGCGTGGTACGACCTCGTGTTCGAGACTACCCTGTCCACGGAGAGCGACCAGTCCGTCGGGGCGCCGTCCACAGGCCCAGAGTGCAACACGGAATGCCCTATGACGGGCCCTCCGAGTTCCACCCACTCCAGGACATCCAAGGTTGCTGGGACTGGAGAGCCTGACTATCCACAGGAGACTGCATGATGTTGCTCGCGCCGCCCCACAGCCAGGAGCGGTTGTCGCTGCTCGCCCCGTCCGTCCCCCAGAAAAGCTGCATGATGTGGCTCGTGCCGTCCTGCTGCCTGGAGTGGCTGACGTGGCTCGTCTCGACCATCCCGAAGCAGCTCTGCTTCCTGCTCGCGCCGTTCCGCCGCCTGGTGTGGCTAGCGCTGCACACCACGACAACTACGAAGAAGCTCTGCACGTTGCTGCACGTGCCGTCCCGCCGCCTGGAGTGGCTGCTGCGGCTCGCCCCGACCATCCCCACGGAGTGGCGCATCATGATGCTCGTGCCGCTTTGCCGCCTCGCGTGGCTTTTGCTGCTCGTCAAGCCATTCCCGAAGAAGCTCTGCATGCCGATGCGCGTGCCGTCCCGCCGCTTGGAGTGGCCGACGCGGATCGTCGTGACCATCCCGACGACGCCCTGCATGACTGGCCAGCTCCTGGCATGCCGTTCCTTCGCCGCTCGGACCTTCTCCAACTACGTGGCTGCAGTGCGAATATTGCGTGCTGTGTCGATGTTCTGTTGCAACGTGCTGCTGAGCGCCAGCATGATGATCGTGGATTCTCGCCGCTCGGAGTGGCGTCTGAGGCCCCCGCCCGCTTTTGTAGCAATGTGCCCCCTGCCCCGCTCGCCTCTTCCCGCCTGTCGCCCTTGTCTCTGCCTCCCATCCCCGCGTTTCCTGCATTTCAGCGCACGCACGAATGCACATCCGCTCTCCGCGTGTCTGGCCCCGCGCCCCCCGCAGCGCGTGAGTTGCTTGCGCGCCTGAGCACCACCACAGCTCACGTATGGAAGTAGAGGGCGGCGGACTCGGGCGGGACATCTTCCCTGTTCTCGCGTCGTTCCCGCTTGCCCTCGTCTCTTCCTCTTTCAGGGTGCATTAACTCCTCTCCCTCCTCCCTCCTCCCCATCTCGCAATCCCTGCCTGTGCCCTCCGCGCATGAGTGGCGGTGTTTGCAGGCGCCTCCCCCGCTCAGTACAGCGCTTCGTGGCACCATATGGAGCTCCACCGAGGGCCTCAGTGGCGGTTTTCGCATGAGGTCCCCTCACCCAGTACAGCGCTTCGTGGCCCCATAGGGAGCTCCACCGAAGGCCTCCGTTGCGATGTTCGATGCGGTTCCCCCACCCGGCACAACGCTTCGTAGCCCCAAACAAAAAGAGCTCCACCGAAGGCCTCAGCGGCGGTGTTCGCATGCGGTTCCCCCCACCCAGTACAGCGCTTCGTGGCCCCATGAGGGGGCTCCACCGAAGGCCTCAGTGGCGGTTTTTGCGCGCGGTTCCCCCACCCAATACAGCGTGTCGTTGGCCCCATCTGGGAGCTCCATTGAAGGCTTCCGTGGCGATGGTCGCATGCGTTTCCCCCACCCAGTGGACCGCTTCGCGGCCCCATTGGGGGCTCCATCGAAGGCCTCAGCGGCGGTGTTCGCATGCGGTGCCCCCCACATAGTATAGCGTTTCTTGGCCCCACATGGAGCCCCACCGAAGGCCTCAGTAGCTGTGTTCGCATGCGCCTTCCTCACCCAGTACAACGTTTCGTGGTCCAGAGGGAACCCCACCGAAGGCCTCAGCGGCGGTGCTCGCATGCGGTTCCCCGACCCAGCACAGCGCTTCGTGGCCTCATAAGGGAGCTCCACCGAAGGCTTCAGTGGCGGTGTTCGCAAACGGCTCCCCCCACCCCGTTCGGCGCTTCGTGGCCCCACAGGGAACTCATCGAAGGCCTCAGTGGCAGTGCTCGCGTGCGGCCCCCCAGCCCAGCACAGCACTTCGTGGCCCCATGAATAGGGAACTCCACCGAAGGCCTCAGTGGCGGTTTTTGCATGGGATCCCCCCACCCAGTATTGCGTTTCGTGGCCTCATATGGGAGCTCGCTCCACCGTACCCATTACATCGTTTCGTGGCCCCACATGGAACTCCACCGAAGGCCCTCGTGGCAGTGTTCGCATGCGGCGTCCCCCACCCAATACAGCGTCATCAACGTCGTTGTTCGCATCCGGTTCCCCAACACGGTACAGCGCTTCGTTGACCCCATGGGGTACTCCACCGAAGGCCTCAGCGGCGGTGTTCGCATGCGGTTCCCCCACCCAGCACAGCGCTTCGTGGCCCCATGGGGAGCTCCACCGAAGGCCTCAGTGGTGGTGTTCGCATGCGGTTCCCCCACCCAGTGGAGCGCTTCGTGGCCCCTTAGGGAGCTCCATCGAAGACCTCAGCGGCAGTGTTCGCATGCGGTTCCCCCCACCTAGTACAGCGTTTCGTGGCCCCACATGGAGCCCCACCGAAGGCCTCAGTAGATGTGTTCGCATGCGCCTTTCCCGCCCAGTACAATTTTTCGTGGTCCAGAGGGAGCTCCACCAAAGGCTTCAGCGGCGGTGCTCGCATGCGGTTCCCCCACACAGCACTGCGTTTCGCGGCCTCATAAGGGAGCTCCACCGAAGGCCTCAATGGCGGTGTTCGCATTCAGTTCCCCCCACCCTGTTCGGCGTTTCGTGGCCCCACAGGAAACTCCGCATGCGTCTCCCCCATTCAGGGCAGCGCTACGCGGCTCCATAGGGAGCTCCACCGAAGGCCCCACTGACGGTGTTCGTGCGCGGCTCCCCCACCCAGTAGAGCGCTTCGTGGTCCCATCGGGAGCTCCACCGAAGGCTTCCGTGGCGGAGTTCGCATGCGGCTCCCCCCACCCAGTACAGCGTTTCGTCGCCCCAAAACGAGCTAGCTCCACAGGCCCAAGTGGCGGCCCCGCCCCATCGCGGCGCACCCCGCACGCGCTTCGCGGCCCCAGAGTGGGTTCCACCTAAAGCCCTCGTGGCAGCTCGTATCGGCACACCCTTCGCATGCTTCATGGCCCCATGAAGAGATCCCCCGAAGGCGATGTCCGCAACGACGGTACTCGCAACTTCATATGGTTGGGTCCTTTGCCCGGATTACTTGATGGTTCCCAGACAGAAGGAGGATGGGGTCCGAGCAGATGGGGTCGGAGGATTGTGTTGCATGGGCGATGCATCGGCGATGCATCGGCGATGCGACTCGACTTTCTCCAATGTATCGGCGATGTGGCTCCATGCTCCGACACCGCCTGCTCGGATTCCCACCTCGGGCGGCCATCGGTGCTCTGACCCGTGGAGGAGCGGCTCCACCCGCAAGAAGTTGGCCCGGGCGTCCAGCTGCATTGTCGAGTACGTGGGGCGAGTGGCGTACTTCTGCGGCGACCGCCCCGAGCGGGTCCGCGCGAAGGATCCAACGGCCCATGGAACATACAGTCGCAATCGATGATGGGGATGGGTAGCCTCCCCAAGGGTACCCCTCACATCCTCGCCTCTTCGCTCCATTCCTGACCACTTCCGATGGCCAGCCCTGCCCGGAGAGCCTCGACACGGGCGGACAAGGGACCCGCACCCTTACCGCGCACCCTTGCTATGAATGTTGACTGTATTACCAGTTTGAAACATATCCCTATCCCTATGTTTGACATCACCTCACCTCGATGCCGATCTTAAGGATTCCCTCAGTTTCTGAGGGCCTATCCCTAAGATTGTCCTCGCTTTTTGCTCGCCCATCTTAGGGATAGGGATACGTTCGAGGCTGGTTACTGTAGGCTTTGGAGCTGGCTGGGGGCCCGAGGCGGCCCCTCACCGGCTCGGGCCAGCAGGCAGAGGGGCCTCGCCGTCGCCACGGCTGAGCGCAGCGCGAGCAATGTGCCAGTTTCGGCTCCCGGAGGATCGAGGTCGGTTCGGGAAGGGTACCCTGGAGTTATTCGTGTCTGTTGGATGCTCTTGTGCATCCTGGTGAGGGCACCCCTCTGCCTGCTTTGGCCGACGGAGGGCCTCGTGCTCTTGCGAGAGGTGCTCTTCTGGCCCAGGTCCGCCTGCACCTCGTGGATCGAGGGGCCCAAGGACACACAAATAGATACACAAATGAAAGGATTCCCAACATTTTCCCATATTTTCTGGGTTTCTGTCTTCCCCCCCACTTCTCATATTTTCCCATATTTTCTTGGGGATCGACGATTCATTGTGTCTGTGTGTTTTTTCCCCTCCTGAGTGGAGCCAAGTTCCCCACCGTGCTGTCAAGATGAAGACGATGGTGTTCCGCCATCCTCGGGGCCCCGGGCCGTCAGACTCTGGATCCGGGGGCAGGGCGGGGCCGAGGTGTTGGGCCCGACGAGGTCTTTTGCCAATTTCGGTTGTGAGGGGGCCGTTTTCGGGCTTGGGAGGAGGAGGAGGAGGAGGAGGAGGAAAAGGAGGAGGAGGCCCGGGGCCCCGGGCTGGGCGGCAGCCCCGGGGCCTGCCCGCGGAAACGTCGAGCACCCGCAAGGTCGGCTGCCTCTCCGCCGTGGCGAACGGGCAGCCCCTGGGGTTAAGTCGGGGGTTTTCGACGAAAAATAAAAAATATCCCAAAGATGCCCCAAAAAGGTCAAAACGTATTCAAACAATAGTCCCCAGACTATTGTTGGACGATGTTTTGATTATTTTTGGTATATTTTATATTTTTCGTCGAAAGTCACCCTGTGGGGGGACATGCCCGACTTAACCCTGGGGGAAAGACGAGCGGCACCGGGGTGCCACCTCCAGCGAGGAGGCCCACGAGGCCCCCCCGATCCAGGGAGGAGGGGCGCCCCGAGCGAGGGGGGCGACACCACACCAACACACCACGCACGCACGCACGCACGCACGCACGCACGCACACACACACACACACACATACGCACACGCAGACACACGCACACGCAGACACAGCAACACACACACACACACGCAGACAGACCGACACACCGACACACACTGACACACACACCGACACACACACCGACACACACACACACACATACACACACCGACACGCACCGACACGCACCGACACACACACACACACACACATCGACACGCACCGACATACACACACACCGACACACACACACACACACCGACACGCGACACGCACCGACACACACCGCACCGACACCGACACGTACCGACACACACACACACACACCGACACGCACCGACACACACCGACACACACACACACACATACACACACACACACACCGACACGCACCGACACGCACCGACACACACCGACACACACCGACACACACCGACACACCGACACCGACACCGACACATACACACGCACATGCACACACACACACACACACCGACATTGACGCCCACGCCCAAGCCCACACGCCCACACGCCCACGCCCACGCCCAAGCCCACACGCTCACGCCCGAGCCCACACGCCCACGCTGACGCCCAAGCCCACACGCCCACGCCCACGTCCACGCCCACACGCACACTTACGCCCAAATCCACCGGGGAGGGGGACGACACCCCGGGAGGGGGACGACACCCCTGGCTCCTCGCGCTGGCCGGGGAGCACCTCTGGAGGGCTGTCTGGTGGGCAGCCCGCGGCTCGGCCGGTTTCGCCTGAGCCCCTTGCAGGGGCAGCGGCCCCTTCGACCACCCCGCCCCGAAGAATGCGGATTCGCTATCGGGAGCCCATCACCGATCTGTCGGCGATGTATCGCCGATTCCAGGTCGATGTTTCCCGCTGTGAGCTGGTCCCCCTCCTAACGTTGCCGCTCATTATCGGGCACCGGTGGGCAAAGACATGTTAGCGTTGGCACACGTCTTCCGGATCATCGAGAGGAGTACTTGCAGTGGCTCCTCCACCAGCGGATCGGCGGGCATGTGCGGGTGGACCTTTTCCTCCTCCTCCTACTCCTTCTCCTCCTCCTCCTCCTCCTATTCCTACTCTTCCTCCTCCTACTCTTCCTCCTCCTTTTCCTCCTCCTCCTCCTCCTCCTCCTCCTGACGCGTTTTGGGCGTTTCTGGTCGCTTCTGTGGCCGCCGGAGGCCTCCTCATTCTCCTGCTTCTCCGATTCCCCCCTCCTGCTCCAGGTGGACCAGGCTGGTCGCGACGATGTCGCGATGATCATGGTACCAAACAGCTGCATCGGCTTCGTCACGGGTCACAAGGGCGCGTCCTTGCGGGCCATCGAGGAAGAGACGAACACGTTTTGCTTCATTGATGGGGTCGCGGACGACGGCGAGGACCCGAAGCCGTTGCTGATCTTTGGCTGCATCGAGGACCGGCGAATAGCGGAGAGCCTCGTGTGGGAGAAGATTTCGCAGAAGTACGACGAGTACGACAGTTGGGAGAGTCGCGGCGACAAGGGGCGCCGAAAGGGGAAGGGGAAGGGCGACAAGGACGGCAAGAAGGGCAAGGGCAGGAAGGACGACGCGCGTGCCGATGCCGCGGCTCAGGCTCGCAGGGACGAGAGCGAGCAGGAGAGCCCGGTGAAAAAGGTCGGCGACACCGAGGCGATGTCCATGAGCGACGACGATGCTGCCTTCCTGATGGGGCCTGGCGGGAAGACCAAGAGGAAGATCATGGCTGTGAGCGGGGCCCACCTGGATTTCAAGAACAAGTGCATGGAGGTCACAGGCTCTCAGAGGGGGACAAGGTACCAGTGCAGCCACCCACCCTTGCCTCGATTCCGCCTTCTGTGGGCCTCATGGGAGGCCCTCGTCGCACCGGCTAGTTTCGCTTCGAGACCTTGGTCAGAACGCACCCCATAAGAGGTCTGGGGAGTCGCGGTAGGGGTACTTTTTGGTTCCCCCAGGCTCGCTGGAGCAGCGCTCGAGGGCGAAGAAGTATGTCCAGCTGGTGATGGCGCAGCGTTTGGGGCCCGTGAAGATCGACGACAACGAGAAGCACGACGACCTGTCGATCGTCGAGGTGCCTGCGGACGCCGTGAGCTTTGTCACCGGGCGCCAGGGGTCTTTCCTGCGCCTGGTCGAGGATGGCGGGGCGTGGTGTTGCGCACGGGCGGCCCCCCGAATCTCTGTCGGGGGCCACAGCGGGGCAGCGCGAGGGGGGTGGTCTTCTAAGCAGGCGGTGGGGCTTCTGAGAAGGCGGCGAGGCTTCTCGGGCTTCCGTGGAGCCTTTTCAGAAGCCTCTGGGGCTTTCGGAGTAGGCCCCTGCCTTCTTGGAAGCCCCGCCGCCATCTTAGAAGCCCACCACCTCGGGCCACCCCCTTGTGGGCTCCGCCAGGCCCTGGCTAGCCTCAACGGGCCGCCAGGGTAGTCCAGGTCGGTCTCATGAGCCTTGGCGCGCTGGTGCGCGGCGGCTGTCGAAGCCGCCCCCAGGTTGTGGGCCTGTCGGCGCCGACCTTGCCTGCCTCTGGGGGGGCCGTCCGTGCGCAGCCCTCAAGCCTTGATTTGGCACGTGCGAGATGTGTACGGAAGAGACAGGTGTGAGGTCCAACAGCAAGTGTTGTCCAAAGCCGACAGCGGTCGCTGGTGGTCAGGGGCAGCGCTAGGGGATGATAGGCTCAGGGGGGCGCATGTCCCCCAGTCGCCTACTCATCGCCGATAGGGGCCTGATAGCCCACCCCGCCCAGGAACGTGCAGATTCGTTATCAGGGGCATCTTGCCGATCTCTCGGCGATGTATCGCCGATCTCAGGTCGATGTATTCCCCCGCGACCTGGTCCCCCCCCGAACGTTGCCCCTCAGCCCAGCAGCACATGTTGTCCACACACAGGCAGCGGCCGTTGTTTGGCAGTCGCCGTGGGCAACGTCCGCGGTGACACCGACAGCGGGTCCTGTACAAAATGGCCAGGGACTAATGTCGGTCTTCCTCCCATTCCGTACCGATTTCGATCGTACCGGTTGCCAGCCGAGGAGGAGTTCGGGACGTTGCTGTTCTTCCTGGATTTCAACAAGTCGAGCCGCCGCGATACGATCGAGCGCCTCGCCATCTTCGGGCCGCTTCGAGAGCGCAGGGGTGCGGAGCTCAAGGTCATGGCGGCCATCGAGGCGAAGCAGCCGGGCTACATCACGAAGAAGGATCCCGCACGTGAAATATGTGGGCCACCAGTTCTGCAGCGCCAACTCCGATCGTATAGATCTGGTTTGATATCGATTCCTGTCAGCCGCATCCGATTCGACATCGACATTCCGACGATCCGATGCAGCCCGATGCTCGCGTGGCGCTGATGTGCATCCTGGCGCGGCCGATCTGACTCGATCTCGGCTCCGTGGCGATGCCGCCTGGTTCGATGCCTATTCCGATCCGACCTGATTCTTTGATTCCCCGGGGAAGAAGCACGGTGATCCACGACAAAGAGTTGCGGATTTTGACGACGTCGATCTTGGTCATGGTCCATTCGGGACGTCGCCGATTCGCCGGGATAATCCACGAATCGTTGCCGACCGAGGTCGTCACTTGCAATTCTGTCCTCAGTCTTGGTCATGGTCACCGTTGTTATCTCTCCCTCTATCCTTCCTGGTTTCTTTTTTTTTCTGGCAGGCGCGTGCGGCCACAAACACAAAGATGCAGCGCCAAGAACTGCTTGGCGCACCTCCCGAAAAGTACGTACTGCTTCCCAACTGATTGTGCAGAAATGGTGTCAACAGATCCTGCGCCTTCTTGTGGTGAGGCGGGCCTGGTGGGTCTGGAGCGCCTGCTGCCGTGCTTGTCACGGCGGAGCCTTGAGCCACTGATCGGCGACTTTGTCCCGTCAGCTGCTGCGCTGCTCGGCGCCAGGATGCCCTCGGGCAGCCTCGGGCAGCCCCTCCGATGCGTCGGGCAGCTTCGAGCCGCCCCCGGGCGGCCTCGGGTTTGGCGCCGAGGGCCAGTCCCGGCCCACCCGGGTCTCCGACGGCGTGCTCTGCTCAACCCGTTGGGCGCCAGAGCTCTCCCGCCCCTCTCTAAGGGACCTCCCTTCGGAGCCGCGTCCGAGCGCCCAGCCAGGGTGGTCCGCCTCGGAGGCCAGCGACGCACGCGTCTGCACGCGCGCGGCTCAGCCTCCGCTGGCCTGCGCCCGAGCGCGGCCCCCCGTGCGCGCGGCACCGCGGGCGAGGCGCACGCCAGCGCGTGCCTCCGCGCGCTCCTCGGCCGCCCCCGCCGGGAGGACGCCGCGCTCCCCAGCAGGGACCCGGCGGAGGGCTTCGCCACGGACCGCATGCCGATCGAGGAGGACGCCGCGGCGCACAGGGAGGGGGGGGGAGGGGGGGGGGCCGCCCTTGCTCCAAGAGGGTGGCCCGTCCCCCAGAGTCGGCGGCGAGCCCGGGGGTGGAGTGAGCAGGGGCGGGCCTGGACAGAAGGCTCGGAAGTTCTGGGGCCCTCTGAGAAGTTTCCTTTGGCCCTCCCCGAAGAGACAGGAGACCATCCCGGAATGCGCGAGGGCTTCTGAGGAGCCCTCGCCGCCTTCTGAGGGGGTCTCCTCCTCACTTCCCCCCCTCGCTCGTCGCCGACAGAAGCCCTCCCGCATAGATCGGGGGCGTCCCAGAGGGAGAGGGGATGTTAGAGCCAGGGCAATGGTACACGCCGGTCGTTGAAAGTAGGTATTTTTGGATTCCCAGATCCCAATCTACTTCAGGCGCCTTCCTACTTCAAGAATCGACATGCTGTTGCTGTGCTTTGTTATTCTCTGGGAGGACCTGGACCCAGTCCACTTGATCCGGCTTCCTGCTTCATGTTTCGACCTACTTCTTCCGACTGACGTGTGTACCCCTTGCTCCAGCAGGTCCTGAGCTCCCCCCCCCGCCCAGGGCCGCGCACGTGCCTCGGGTTCTGATTTGCGATCCCCCCTCTCGGACGCTAACCTTGAGTCGGGCCTGGCCTTCTACAGGGGGAAAATTCAAAAATAGTCAAAAAATAGTCTGGGGACTATTTTTTGAATATGTTTGGGCATCTTTTGAGCATTTTTTGCGTATGTTTTATTTTTCGTCCAAAATCCCCCGGTAGGGGGACACGCCCGACTTAACGCTAACCCTTTGGACGTCCCCCATGAGAGGCCCTCTGGAGAGTCTCCAGGTGGGGGCCGATGCCTTCTGAAGAAACCTTCCCTCGCTGAAAGGTCGCTCCCCGCTCACTGCGGCACCTCCGGGAACTCTGAACGTCTCAAGAGGTCCCCAGGAGGTCTCAGAAGCTCCCCGGGGGTCTAAGGAATGACAAGACGTCCGAAAGCCTCGGCCCTCGATCCTCGATCCGTCGACGACGACGACGACGACGCTCCGCCGCAGGATGACTACAGCTACGCCCTCGGCAAGGGCGGCGCCACGCGCAAGAAGATCGCGCGCGCCTCCGGCTGCGTCATCGAGTACATCGGGCGCCTAGCGTACCTCTCGGGGGTGAAGAAGGCGACGACGACGACGACGACGACGACGACGACGACGACGACGACGACGACGGCGGCGGCGGCGGCGGCGACGGCGGCGACGACGACCACGACGACCACGACGACCACGACGACCACGACCGCGATCACGACCACCACGACCACGGCCACGACCACGACGACGACCACGACCACGACAACGACCACGACCACGACGACGACTACGACAACGACGACGATGACGAAGACGACGACGACGACGACGACGACGACGGCGACAACGACTGGGGGACCAGGCATCAGCGAGGATTGAGGATGCCGTGCATTTTGCATTTTTCGGGATTCATGGGACCTCTGGAGAGAGAGAGAGAGAGAGAGAGCTCTGGAGACCTCCAGAGAGAGAGAGAGAGCTCTGGGGACGACTCACGACGACAACGACGGCGGCGGCGGCGACGGCGACGACAACCAAGACCACGACGACCACGACCGCGATCGCGACCACGGCCACGACCACGGCCACGACCATGACCACGACTACGACGACGACCACGACGACGACCACGACCACGACGACGACCACGGCCACGAGCACGACCACGACAAGGACCACGACAACGATCACGACGACGATCACGACGACGACTTCGACTGGGGGACCAGGCAGGAGCGAGGATTGAGGATGCTGCGCATGTTGCCTTTTTTGGGGGTTCATGGAACCTCTGGAGGCGTTTCGGGGACCTACCTCCAGAGAAGTCTGGAAATCTCCAGAGAGAGAGCTCTGGGGACGACTGACGACGACGACGACGACGACGACGACGACGACGCCGACCGCAATCACGACCATCGCTGCGACCACGGCCACGGCCATGACCACGACCACGACGACGACCACGACGACGACGACTACGACAACGACGACGATGATGACGATAGCTACGACGATGACGACGACGACGACGACCTGGGGGACCAGGCAGGAGCGACGACCACGACCACGACCACGACCACGACCACGACCACGACCACGACCACGACCACGACCGCGACCGCGACCGCGATCACGACCACCACCACGGCCACGGCCACGGCCACGACGATAGCTACGACCACGACCACTACCGCGACGACGACTACGACAACGACGACGATGGCGACGACGACGACGACCTGGGGGACCAGGCAGGAGCGACGACCACGAGCATGACCACGACCACGACCACGACCACGACCACGACGACGACCACAGCCGCGATCACGACCACCACCACGGCCACGGCCACGACCATGCCCACGACCACGACCACGACCACGACAACGACGGCTACGACCACGACCACGAGCACGACGACGACCACGACAACGACCACGACGACAACGACGACGACGACGACGACAACGACGGCGACAACGACTGGGGGACCAGGCAGGAGCGAGGACTGAGGATGCTGCGCATGTTGCTTTGTTTGGGATTCGTGGGACCTCTGGAGGCGTCCAGGGGACCTACCCCCAGAGAAATCTGGAGACCTCCAGAGAGAGAGCTCTGGGGACCACTGGCGACGACGACGCCGACGACGAGGACAGTGGCGGCGGCGGCGGCGGCTGCGGCGGCGACGGCGTCGGCGGCGGCGGCGGGGGCATCGGTGGCGGTGGCAACGATTAGGGGACCGGGCAGGATCGAGGATCGGTTTCCCGGAACCTCTACCTCTGGAGGCTTCTGGGGACCCTCTTCCAGCAAGTTTTGTATACATCCAGAGTTTCAGAGACCACGGACGACGATGACAGACCTTGTCTTTATTTCGATTTCCTTATTCCCTACCTAGGCTCTGCCTAGAAGGGTTCTTACTCTCTTTGCTTAAAGGGCCGGGCAATGCTAACCGCCCCGGGCGGTTCCCCCAGTCCCCGCCCCGCGGTTCCCCCAGTCCCCTGGGAGCTTTAGCCTTAGCTTTAGCTTCAGCTAAGCTTTAGCTTTAGCTTTAGCTTTAGCTTAGCTTTAGCTTAGCTTTAGCTTAGTGTTAGCTTAGTGTTAGCTTAGTTTTAGCTTAGCTTAAGCTTAGCTTCAGCTAAGTGTTCGCTTAGCTTTAGCTTAGCTGTAGCTTAGCTTCAGCTTAGCTTTAGCTTAGCTTTAGCTTAGTGTTAGCTTAGCCTTAGCTTAGCTTTAGCTTAGCTTTAGCTTAACTTTAGCTTAGCTTTAGCTTAGCTTTAGCTTAGCTTCAGCTTAGTGTTAGCTTAGCTTTAGCTTAGCTTTAGCTTACCTTTAGCTTAACTTTAGCTTAGTTTTAGCTTAGCTTCAGCTTAGTGATAGCTTAGCGTTAGCTGAGTGTTAGCTTAGCTTTAGCTTAGCTTTGTCTTAGCTTTAGCTTAGCTTTAGCTTAGCTTTAGCTTAGCTTTAGCTTAGCTTCAGCTTAGCTTTAGCTTTAGCTTAGCTTTAACTTATATTTAGCTTAGCTTTAGCTTAGCTTTAGCTTAGCTTTAGCTTAGCTTCAGTTTAGCTTTAGCTTAGCTTTAGCTTAGCTTTGGCTTAGCCTTAGCTTAGCTTCAGCTTAGATCTAGCTTAGCTTCAGCTTAGCTTTAGCTTAGCTTTAGCTTAGCTTTAGCTTAGCTTTAGCTTAGCGTTAGCTTAACGTTAGCTTAGATTTAGCTTACCTTTAGTAGCTTTAGCTTTAGCTTAGCTTTGGCTTAGCTTTAGCTTAGCTTTAGCTTAGCTCCAGCTTAGCTTTAGCTTAGCTTTAGCTTAGTGTTAGCTTAGCCTTAGCTTAGCTTTAGCTTAGCTTTAGTTTAGCTTCAGCTTTGCTTTAGCTTAGCCTTAGCTTAGCTTTAGCTTAGCTTTACTGTTACTACTAATGCTGCTTTCCTAGGGGCTCCAACTCCTAGGTAGGGTCGCACTGGGATAATTTGATTGATCATGGTTGTTCCATTCTGGGGAGGTTTCTCCGTTTGGACTGAGCTTGGACTGAAGGGTTTCAGTCACGCGGACTGGTCGGGTCTATGGTCGGCTTTGAGCGGGCATGGTAAACCCGACCACCGCGCATAGATATTGCAAATGCTCTACGATAACAGGCTGGTAAAGGGCAAACGTCAACGCAGCGACTCGTTCGACAGCCGAGCTGGAGCCCGACAGGGGCGCGTTCTCAGCTCAATACTACTAGCTGTTTGTATGAGTTGGCGATGGCCTGGCGGCGACGTTTCTCTGGAACAACATGGCTTGACTTGGAAGATGGGCGGCGTCGCCTAATTACTGGATTTGCGTTTTGCGGTTGGCTGCGGTTTGTCGCCAGGTCACAAAAAATAGGCAGCAATATGTTTTGCGTCGCTTGCTGAGGAGCTCGCAGCGGTTCGTTCGATGTTATGCGCCGACGAAGCAGTAATTTTGGTAACCGACGCGCAGCCGCCAGAAACGCTGTTCGTGCCATCTGGCGTGAACACGAAGCGTGTGGATAAATGGTTGGGATGCATGTTGTCGGCGGGCGTGGTAGGGCATGGTCTGGAATACGACCTTCACGTTTTTGCCAATGCCCTCTATGCGAGCACGTTGATCTTCACGGCGACCAGTTCTTGATTGCAACGCGCCTCACTTATTCCCGCGCCACCATCACCCCGCTTGCTGTGTTTGCTTCCGCGAACCGCATGGCATACGTTGCGGAAGTGCTAACCCTGGGCATGCTAGTCGCAAGCTTCTCAAACCAACTGTCGGGTCACCTCGTGGGGTCAATTGCATCAGGCCGTCGCGTAGGATTTTGCATTTCTGGCACGAGGGCGTATCCGACAGATTGGAAGGCATTTCAACCAAATAGTAGCCAAAAGTATTGGTGCGCCAGAGGTGAACTTGCGTCGGGTACGTCGGCAGTCTGCGCGCTGATTGTTGGTCGTCACGTGCTCTTGACTGGACGCCTGCCAGGAACAGGTCCCAAGGACGAGCGCGCAACATTTGGGAATACGATGTCAAATGTTTCGGCGCTGCGTCCAGCCTCGGCGAGTGGAGAGCAGCAGCCAGGATGCACATCCCTGGAAGTCTGTGACAGGGTGTCTCCCCACGACATGCGCTGCTGGTCATCCTCACCCCCTTCTTCTTCCCCATGCCCCTCGCCTTTGATGGCCGCGGCCGCCGAAGGTCGTCGACGGCCGCGGAGGAGGAGGATGAGGATGAGGAGGGGGAGGAGGAGGAGAAGGAGGAGGAGGAGGAGGGCCGGCGGCCGCGGGAGGCCGCGGGAGCCCCCCCTCCAGGAGCGCACGCGGGCCCGCGAGTACCTGGGCTGGCTCTTCTGCCAGCGGGTGGGCCCCGTGGAGGTGAACTACGCGCGGCGCGACGACGTGAGCGTGCTGCAGGTTCCCGCCGTCGCCGCCGCCGCCACCGCCGCCCCCTCCGTCGGCGTCGTCGTCGGCGTCGTCGTCGTCGTCGTCGTCTCCCTCCGGGGGTCTTCTGGAGGGGGGGGTTCAGAATGAGAGAGGTTGCGGGAGGAGGGGGGGGGAGGGGGGAGAGGGAGAGGAGGGGAAGGTCGAAGGTGGAGAATGGCGACGGCGATGCCTCATGAGGCCCCGGAGACAATTCACGAGGCTGGGCGGAGGAGTCAGATTGGAGGAGGATCGGGGGGATGATGATGCTGATGATGATCCTGATGATGGTGATGATGATGCTGATGATGATGGTGACGATGATGATGATGATGATGATGATGATGATGATGATGATGATGATGATGATGATGATGATGATGATGATGATGGGGATGATGATGATGATGATGATGATGATGATGATGAGGATGAGGATGAGGATGAGGATGAGGATGAGGATGAGGATGAGGATGAGGATGAGGATGAGGATGAGGATGATGATGAGGATTATGAGGATTATGAGGATGATGAGGATGATGAGGATGATGAGGATGATGAGGATGATGAGGATGATGATGATGCTTATGATGATGATGCTGATGATGAGGATGATGAGGATGATGAGGATGATGATGATGATGATGGTGGTGGTGGTGGTGATGATGATGATGGTGGTGGTGACGATGATGATGGTGGTGATGATGATGATGCTGATGTTGATGATGATGCTGATTATGATGCTGATGATGATGATGTTGTTGTTGATAATGCTGATGATGATGATGATGATGGTGGTGGTGATGATGATGATGATGCTGATGATGATGATGATGATGATGATGATGATGATGATGATGATGATGATGATGATGATGATGATGATGATGATGATGATGATGATGATGATGATGATGATGGTCTCTCTGATGTTCCCCCTAGCGCGCGTCTGGGCTTCTCCAGCTCCTCGGCCCGAACGCTCGCGCGGATATGCTGGGTGGGCGCATTACGCAGGCGCTCGCCCAGGCCGCCATCGAGGTGGCAGGGGCGTTGCTTTCCCAGGGCCTACGAGCCGCGTGAGACGAGCGATTCGTGGGCCAACAGCTTCCACCACTCGCGGACCTTGGCGTTCCCTCTGCGGGGATCCCGTGGCCAGCACGGGCCGACGCGGGCGGCGGGGGGCTTTGCCTCCCTACCGTTCGGGTGCTGCTTGCGCCGCCGTCTGCCACGGGCTGGCGGTGGATCTGGGCAGCGGGGTGACCCCTGTGCTGCTCTCGACGGTCTTGGCACTGCTCGGGGCTACTGCCGTCTGCAACCTCTTGGGGGACTGCTGTATCGGGGCCTTCGCGGCCATTCCGCGGGGGCTGACGGGGCCCCCGCGCGCGCGGACCGCGATCGGAGTGCCTGACTGGCGCGGTCGCGGTGCGCAGCGCGCCCGGGCCCACGGCACAGGAGCGCGGGTTGCGGAGCGCGCGCGGGCCTTTTCGCAAGGCCCGTGCGCTGCTCCCGCCCGAGGCTGGCGCGCGCGTCGCCAGCCATGGCAGCCGTTGCTTCGGCGGCGGGAAGGTTTGTTATCCCCGGTGGGCCAGTCTGGCCCGACCTCCACTTGTTTCGCTCCTCCGTTAGGTACTCGCTGCGGTCACTGGCGGTTGGGCGATCGCTAGGTGAGCTACGCCGCGATCTTTTCGGCCTCTTGGTCAGGTGATACCGTGCTGGCGTTGCTTGGGTCTTTCCGCACCGCCGACAGTCTCAGATGGCGGAGGCGGACGGATTCTCAGGGCTGGTTGGTCATTCCAGATGGTCAGCGTGCCCTTGCTCGGCGCGGCTTCGCGGCCCCTGAGCACGACGGCTCCAGGTTTTGGCGGTCGACTTGGAGATCTCCGAAATGGATCTGGTGGCTCTCACCCCCCTGGGCGAGGGAGGCGCCGACGGGCTGGCCCCGTTCGGATCGGCCCGCGGGCGCGCGTGCTGGCCACGCCCCGAGGGAGTCTTCGGCCTTCGCGATGGCTTCGTGGCCGTCGAGGGGGGCGAGGCTGCCCCTGGCGCAGAGGAGGCCGCCCCGCGCCAGTCCGTGGACAAATTCGAGGGGGGCGGCCCCAAGGGCGACGTTGACGCCGAGGACCGCCCTCCTCTTCAGGCGCGGGCCCCGCCGCTGCTAGAGGCACCTCCCGCGCCGGCGCGCAGCAGCCTAGGCGCGCAGCCGAAGCCGTGGTCAGGCATGGCCTCGCCCTCGCTGGTGCGGGGTGGAGCTATGCGCGCTCACTCTCTCGGCTATGTTCCTGTATTTCCGCGAGCAGCCCTTTGGGGGCCCGCGCGGCGACGAGCCGTGCTCTCGCGCGTCTCGCGCGGCTCAGCGCGGGGCTGCGGCGCGCTGCCGAGAGCGGGGATGCGGACAGGGCGGGGGCCCCGGTGAGTTGCTAGCGCGCGTTCGTCGATCAACTGGCGGGGAGCCGCGGCTATCCGGAGGCCGCCTGGCCCCCCGCGTGGCCGGAGGCGCCGCCCGCGCAGGCGACCCGCCTCCACGCGGAGAGGGTGGCTCAGCTGCTTTTCTCACCATTGGTGGACCCCCGTTGGCTCTCGGCGCAGGGCGATTACGCGAAGTAGATGCCCTTCTGTCCGATCGCGCCTGGGGGCCGATCGAACACGGGGCACGCAAAAGCACCGCCGGCGCCCGCGTAGCTGGGGGCCGCGTCCCAGGCGAAGCCCACAGGGGGCAAGGCCCCCTCAAACGCCCCCCCAGAGAAGGTCAGCGGCGCCTGACAGGGGGCCCGCGCATTTTGCGCGCGTTCGCCGAGGGCAAGAGTCGCGACGAGCCGATCAACTCGACGACGCTGCGGCTGCAATGCGCTCCTGGGCCGAGGGGGGTCGCGATTGTAGGGGTGCGTTACTCCAGCCATGCTGCTGCAGCCCCACATGGAGATGTGCGTTCCGCTGTCGCGACTCTCGCTCCGTTTCGGGCCCCCCTCGGGCTCCGTCGAAGCCCGCGAACATGTATGTCGCCCGCTGCGCCCCTGCGTTGGCCCAGATTGGGCGGGGGGCTCGGCGTTCTCTGGCCGCTTGATTTCGCCGCCCCCCTCGCGCTGGCTCGGGGCGCTCCTGCTGCTGAGGAACATCTCCCCCGCGATCCCTGGCCGCGCCCTCCGGCTACCGCGCTCGAGCCTTTCCGCGCGCTCGCGTCGGGTAGGTCTCGGGGGCGTCGGCGGCTGAAGCGCGTCGCGCGCAAGCTGGCGCAGCGCGGCGAGCTCGCGCTCAACTTGCTGCCCCGGGGGAAGCCCGGCCTCGCGCCCGTCGAGGCCGGCGCGCGCGCGGCGGCGCCGCCCCGCCAGGAGTGCGAGCGCAGCCGCGTCGAGCAGTTCTTCGTAATCGCAGTTCGCCTCGCCCGCGGCGGCAAGAGCGACTTGGGGCGGGCGTTCGCAAAGTTCGATTCCGCAGAGGTCTCGCTCCGTGGCCTGACCGCCCACACTGCAGCCGTGGAGGTTTTCTCTTCCTCCTCCTCCTCCTCCTCCTCCTCCTCCAGGCCTGCCCCCTTGCGGCAGTGCCCGGGCAGCGCTCGCGTCGCTGGCGCGCTGGCTCCCGCGGCGGCCCGGCATTTCCGCCCGCGACGGGCCACTTGACCTCCAAGGCAAGGCTGCCCGCATTAGGTGGGGCTATTCGCCCGCGCGTGGCCCCGCCAAGCGCCGCCGCCGACGGCCGCGCGTAACGCGCTGCGAGCGCGGCCCCTCGCGAACCGCTCGAAGTCGTTCAAGGCGGGGTAATCTGAGCTGGAAGGGCTCGATGCGCCCCCGCGCCTGAAAGCGCTCGCAATGGGCGACGTCATGGCGGTGGAGATCGCCGATTCCGCCCGCGAGGGCGCGCCGCGCAGCTTCGGAAGTCTTCTCCCCGAGGAGCAAACCTTGCACTGCTCGCCGCTCCCGAGCGGCCCGCGCGTCGAGATGTTGAATATCGACGACCGCGCGGGATTTGTAGCTCCCCTGCAATGCTTCGGCCCCGCGGCCAGACGGCCCCGCCCGCGGCGGCCGCGCAGCGTTCGCCGCCTGGGGCCGCGGGCGCCCGGGCGCGGGCCTCATCCAACTCCCAGGCAAGCGCGCCCGCGCTGCAACCCATAAGGTCGTCGCCGGCGCCGAGGTGGAAAGGTGGGAGTGGCGTTGTCTGCGCCCCGCTCGGTCGGGCGGTGGCTCTTTGCCGGCTCACTGTGGTCCGAGTGCACCTCGGCCGCGCGACGCGCGCCGTCTTGGCGTCGCTTGCGGGGCGTTGGATTTGGGCTCTCCTGTTTCGCCGACCTCTGCGGCGTCTACCCGCACTTGCGCCTTCCTATATCCTCTGTTGAGGTAGGAGGCGGGGTGGACTGCGTTCTACCCATCTCCGTTCGAGACGAGCCGTTCGCCTGCTTGTTCTTGGCTTTGGCGGCCATAACCCACCTTCGCGCGGGCCATGCTGCCGATGCGTTAGGCGCGGGCGCTTCGGAGTTGTCCGCGCGCCAGCCCGTGCCCGCCGGCGGAGCTGCGGCGCAGGTCGGAGAGCGGCGGTCGGCGCGCAGCGTTGCGCGATCGCCGATTGCTCGCCGCGCTGAGCCGCGGAGCCCCTCCAGGGCCTGAGCTCGCCCAGCTGCGTCGAGGACTGAGGCCCCCTTCCTTGGGCCCTCCAGTTGCTCCTCGCTGGATTGCTGGGCCGTCGGAAGCTCCGCGCCCCCGCCTGGCCCATCAGCGGGAATTGTCCATGCCTTGGTTGCGCGGGCACTCTGGATAAAGCTGCGCGCGCAAGCTTCTGCACATATTTGTTGCATGAGGGGTCCGACCTGCGGATTGCAATGTGACCGCGGGCGCTACCGCGCACGGCCGAAACGGCTCTCCAGGGTCGTCTCATTTCTTCCGCACCATGATGCCGTGCATCGTTGGGGAGGGATCCTTAATTTCCATGCCATTACGTGGCTACTGACGTGCGCAGAGCTGACGACCCCTCGCCCAACCGCCCCGCCCGCCCTCCACCCGGGCCCCCCCCCGCGCGGTTGGCGGGGGGCGTTCTCCAGAGTTGATTGTGTAGCATTGGCTGGTTCCTGCGCGCCTTGCCCCCCCTGCGCGCGGGGTCGCCGTGTCGTTGTGTTTTTGGCTCGCACCCCAGGGGGCGCGGGCGGGCGGCCGCCCTCCCCGCGGCCGCGGGGCCGGCCACCCCGGCCGGGTGCCCCGCCGAGCTGTGTCCGCCGACGGTTTCCGGGGCCCCTCCTGGCCCCGCCGCGGCCCTGGCCGCCCCGCCGACGCGCGGGCCTCGCAACGCTCTGTTCGGCCAGCGCGGCCAAATCAGCCATCGACGGCCCGGGCGGGGGCGCGGGGAGGGGGCGTCGCTTGAAGCCCCCCCCCCTCGCCCACATTTTGGGCCGCCTGGGCCAGGGTGGCTCGTTTCCGGCGCCCGCAGGGCGCCCCTTCGCGGCGGCTCGTCGGTTCGCGAGCGCCGCGCGCTTGCAGACGGCCGCCGATTTGTTGGGCGTGCCTCTGGACGCGCCTCGGGCCGTCATAGAGGCCGCCTTCCGTCGGGCCTCGGCATCTTGCCGCCCCGACGAGGCGCCGGCCAGGAGCGGGGCGCCGAGTCCGCGGGGGCGCGGGCGACCCGCTGGCGCTCGCCGTGCGACGCCAAGGCCCTGCTCGCGCAGGCCTGCGCGGCGCTGGCGCAGCCCGCGGGCGCCGTCGCTGGCGCGGGTGGCCAAGGCGAAGGCCATGGGGGAGGGGGCCTGCAGGATGCCTCCCGTTGGGCACGCCGCGGCGCCGTCTGCCCTCGACGGGGCGGCGCCCGCCCGCGCGCTGGCCGCCGAGGCGGAGCTGCGCCTGCACCAGGCCCTGCCCGATGCCCAGGCCGCCGCAAACGGCCAGGGACCAGCGAACTCCGCGCTGGCGTCGGCTAGCCCCGCGGAGCTTGCGCAGGCCGCCGCGCGCGGGCGCGTCGAGCTGAGCGCCGCGATCCGCGCGGCGCGGGCCCCTGTCGCAGGCAGCTTGACCCCCTTCCCGCTGCGCGGGGACGACGCGCGCGCCGCCTCGCGCGCGGCCCGCGCCGCGAGCGTCGCCGACCGCGCATGCAATCGGCGGCTGACTGAGGCCGCTGGGCGCGAGGCCCGCGGGCTGAAGCGCGCCGCGCCCGTCCAGCTCGGGCGTGAACGCCGCGAGCTCTTGCGCGCGGTGGTCCACAACGCGGAGGTCGTGAACCGCGCTGGTTTGCGCGGCCGCGCGGAGCGCGCGGGGCTCGGCGCCCCCGCGTCGGCCTCGGGCCGAACGCCGGCCGCCGTCGAGGCCGAGGGCCCCCGCGAGCGGGCGAAGCTGGGCCCCGACGACCCTGCGGCCAGTTTTGCGCGGCGGGACCAGCGGCGGGCACGGGCGCGCCAGGGCCGCGGGAGGGCGCGCTCGAGGACCGCCCGAACCTTGGATGTCACGCTTTCAGCTCGACGAAGGCTGCCTCGGGCCACGACCGTCGGGCCCGTGGGCGGGCCGCCCATCGCGTAGGGCGGGCCGCCCCTCCCGCCCGGCCGGAGGGCGCTCCCGCGCCCCAGGGGCTGCCCGATGCCCAGGCCACGGCCCCCCGCGCAGACGGCAGTGGATCCGAACGTAGCCGCTACCGCGAGTCGCGCCTGGCCTTGTTCCACCGCCGCCTGGCCCAAGCTGCGCTCCGTCCGCGCGCGTGGGCATGGCCGCCGCCGCTCGCGCCAGCGATGCCGCGGCGGTACCTGCGCCCAGCGACCGAGGATGAGGATGAGGATGAGGATGGGGATGATGATGAGGCCGATGATGGTGATGATGATGAAGATGAAGATGAATATGAAGATGAATATGATGATGAATATGAAGATGAATAGGAAGATGAAGGTGAAGATGAAGATGAAGACGGTGATGATACTGATGATGATGGTGGTGGTGGTGATGATGATGACGATGGTAGCCATGCTGATGATCGTACTCATGATGGTGCTTATGATGTGATGATGATGATACCATGGTGGTGAGGATGGGGATGATGGTGGGGATGATGACGACGAGGACGATGGTAATGTCCATTGCGGCGACGATGATGACGGCGACGTTGATGATGATGGCGTTGTTTATCATGCTCATGATGATGAGGAGGATGAAGAGGATGCCAATGATGATGAGTAGGGGTAGGATGATGATGATGGTGAGTGCTGATGGTGGCAATGACTACGATGATGATGGCGATGGTGATGGTGATGCTGATGATGCTGCTGATGATGATGGTGGTGATGCTGATGATGCCGACGACTAAGACGATGCGGACGATGACGATGACGACGATGATGACGATGCAGGAGGCGACGATTACGACGATGATGACGATTACCTTCTTACTTTCCCGCCCGTCCGACGAGGGCAAATATTGTCAAGGTGATGTTGATGGTGGTGTGCTGGCGTTGGTGATGTTGAGAATGACGGTGATGCTCATGGGGATGATGATGACGATGCCGATGGCGATGGTGACGACGATGATGGCAATTACCCGCTTAACGTCCCAGCTGCCCCGCCCGACATGCCCGTTAGGATTCTCGCTTGCCATCCCGATCATGCACCCTGACTAGGCGCCCGAGTCTCCGCTGCCTCCACGGCGCCCCCACTGGTGGCCCACAAGTCGCCCTGGAGTGCCCTCGCTTGTGCCCCTGCAAGTGGCCCCGCAGCGCCCTCACTTGCGCCCCTTCAAGTGCCCTCACTTGTGCCCCCACAAGTGGCTCTACTGCGCCCCCACCAGTGGCCCCGCAAGTGGCCTCGCAGTGCCCTCACTTATGCACCCACAAGTGGCCCCGCAGTGCCCTCGCCTGCAACCCCCACAAGTGGTGGAACAATGCCCGCGCTTGACGCCCCACAAGGGCCCCCACCTCGCCCTCGCTCGAGGCCCCACAGGTAGCCTGACGCGGCCCTGAATTGCGCCCCCCCCCTTTAACCCATGCCTGCGGCGCCCGCGCGTGCGCCGTCGCGAGTGGCTCGGCGCTGCCGCCGCTCGCCGCTCCCAGCGCGCCCCCCAGTGCTCTCGTCAGTGCCCATGATCGTCTTCCTCTTCCTCCTCTCGGGGCGTTTCCTCCTGCTCCTTCCTCCCTGCTCGTGCTTATTTTTGGACGGATGGAGGCTCTTCCCCCCCTCCTTCCTCGCTCGCGTCTTCCAGTGTTGCGCGGGTAGAGGCACCATTGCCGCATTATCGCGGGTCACCGAGCTTGTGGCGTCTGGCGAAGCAGGCCGTGCCCATTGCCCCCCGAAGGCGTCAGTTTTCGCATCGTCGTTCTGGGCCCTCTCTGGCTAAGGCCTCGCGCTTTCGTCCGTGCCGCGCGCGCGCGCGCCCCCGGCCGCCCGCGAGCGGTGCCCCATCGAGAGGGCGACGCACGGGCCGGCGCAGCTCCGAACGCGCCCGCGCCTTCCGTCACCCTCGCGGACGTTCGCGCGGGACCCGTGCCCGCGTCGATTCGCCAACCTCCGCAGACGCCCGCGCCCTTTCATCGCCCTCGCGGACGTTCTCGCGGGGCCCGCGCCCGCGCTGATTCGCCAACCTCCGCGCCCGCCCGCGCCCTTCACCACCCTCGCGGACGTTCGCGCGGAGCCCGCGCCAGCGCCGCTTCGTCGCCCACCGCAGGCGCCCGCGCCTTTCATCGCCCTCGCCGACGTGCGCTCGGTGCCCGCCGCCCCACCGGCGAGCGCGCTCGCCCGGGCGTTGCCGCGCGGGGGGGCCCGCGACGCGCAGGCCATCCCCAAGGCCCAATGCGCCGCCGAGCGCCGAAACATCGCCGCCTCAAGTAGACGGATCGCTGCGCGCGCGCCGGGGCGGACCTCAGCGCGCTCTGCGCGCGGCACAGGCGTCGCTGCCATCTGCGTCGTAGCATGCTGGCGATTGCACCGTGGACGCAATTGCAGCGCGTCCGCCCAACTTCGTCTCCGCTATGTCCACGACGACCGCAATCGGCGCCCCCTCGCGCCGTGTCCTGCCGGCCAGGCCCGGCTGCCCTCCCCAAGCTGTTCGGCGGCGGCGCGCGCCCCCCCAAACCCACTCGCGCGCGCCACGCTGCGCCCCCCCCCCCCCCCTCGCCCGCCTGAGCTGCCCGTCCATCTTCGCGCCGCCCCCCCGGCAATGCGCGGCCCGCGCGCCCGCGACCTCCTTTGCCCGCGGCGCGGCGCCGTCGGCGGCTCGCTTCGCGAGGCAGCCGTCTCGCGCCGCCTGGCGGCTCGCTGACGCACTCGCGCAAACGTCGGGAGCCTCCGATCATTCCGTCGGAATCGACCGCCGGGCTGTCGCGCGGGCGCTTGCGCCAGCAGCTATGGAGGCGCTCAGGAGCAACGCCCCCGCAGCGCGCGCTGGCCGCAGCGCTCGCGCGAAGGGGGCCGCCGTCGCCGCTCTGACTTTCGCTTCGAGCAACGATGTCTTCAAGTCCCCCATCGCGGCCCTCGCGCGCGGGAGCCAGCTCGTCGCGCCAGGTGCGACTTGGCGGGGGGCGCGCATCCTCCGCGACGTGTTCGGCCGAGCCGGCATCGGCGCCGCTCGTCGCGGCGGCCCCTGCGGCAGCTGCTGGGCGAAAACCGCCCAGGGCAGCAGCCGAGCCTTATCTGACCTCCTCGCGCACCTGCGGCGTCGCTCCCAAGGACTGCCAGTCCACCTGAGAGCGCGCCGGCGGTCGAGTGCATTCTCCGCCGCGCAGGGCCGCGGGCCGCCCCCGCCCCGCCCTGCAGACCCCCGTCGCGGGCGCGCGCGCGATCGCGGCGACGCCAGCGCCGGCTTCCCGCTCAGACGCACCGCCGCTCGACGCAGCAACCGCAGGAGCAGCTCGCAGGCCCGTCTGTTTCAGCGCATCTCCGGCGCCGGGCGGCGCCGCGCCGCGCCCCGCGCGCCTGCGCGCGCGCGCTTTCGCCCGGCTGCTGCGCGCGCGCTCGGCGGCGGCCTCGGCGCCGCCGCCGCCCGCGCGCCAATCCGCCGAGCCTGATCTCGATCTCTCCGAGGTGGGCGCCGCTCCCGCTGGCGCCTCCGCCGCGCGGAGGTCGCGCAGTTGTCCGCTTGTCGCGCGCCGACGCGCATCGCTAAAAACCTTGAGCGAAATCCATGAGCCATCTGCGAACCCTGCGCGCGCGCGCTTTCGCCCCAGCTGCTGCGCGCGCGCTCGGCGGCGGCCTCAGCGCCGCCCCCGCTTCGGCGTCTCAGTCTCGTTTCGGGCGCGCGGCTCTGGCGCCCGGCGCGCCGCCGCCGCCCGCGCGCGAATCCGCCGAGCTTGATCTCGATCTCTCCGAGGTGGGCGCCGCTCCCGCGGGCGCTTCCGCCGCGCTCCAGTCGCGCAGTTCTCCGTTGGTCCGCCGCCCGTGTGCCGACGCGCGCCGCCAGGAGCCTCGGGCGAAATCCACGGCCCATCCCATGCCCCGCGTGATCTCAGAGAGTTACCGCGGATCTGTAGGCCTTTCGCTTCTGCATGCGTCTTCTCCGTCTGCGCCGCGCCGCGCCAGCTTTCTTTCGGCGCCTCACCGCGCGCTGCTCAATTTTCGGGCGGCGTCGCCCAGTTAGAGGCCGGAGAGCCGCGCGCGTCGCGTCACAAAGCTGACGCGCGCCGACCGACCGCGTCGCCAGCAAGGCGCATCCGCGCGCGAGGATTATCTTCACGACGCTAGCAGCTATTTCATTTTCCGCGGCGCTGTCCTCGAATTCCAAGCCCCTCGCCTCCGCATCCTCCATCTCCTTCTCTTTCTGCTCTTCGCCTTCCTCTCCACTCGTCGCCTCGGCTCTGGCCTCGCACCCACGCGCGCGCGCTCATCTTCCGCCTGGGCCCCCCATCCATCTTCGCGATGCCCCCCAGCAGCGCGCCGCCCGCGTGCCCGCGACTTCTTTTGCCCGCGGCGCGGCGCTGTCGGCGGCGCGCTTCGCGAGGCAGCCGTTTCGCACCGCGTGGCGGCTCGCTGACGCATTCGCACAAACGTTGGAAGCCTCCGATCATTCCATCGGAATCGACCGCCGGGCTTTCGCGCGGGCGCTTGCCCCTGCAGCTATGGAGGCGCTCCGGAGCAACGCCCCCGCAGCACGCCCCGGCCATGGCGCTCGCGCGAAGGAGGCCGCCGCCGCCGCTCTGACTTCCGCTTCGAGCAACGACGTCTTCAAGTCCCCCGTCGCGGCCCTCGCGCGCGGGAACCAGCTCGCCGCGCCAGGTGCGACTTGGCGGGGGACGCACTTCCTCCGCGACGTGTTCGGCCGAGCCGGCATCGGCGCCGTTCGTCGCGGCGGCCCCGGCGGCAGCTGCTGGGCGCGCCATGGGCAGCAGCCGAGCTTCGTCTGACTTCCTCGCACGCTGGGGCGTCGCCTCGAAGGACGACCAGTCCACGTAGGAGCGCGCCGCGCAGGGCCCCGGGCCGCCCCCGCCCCGCAGACCCCCGTCGCCGGCGCGCCCGCGATCGCGGCGATGCCAGCGCCAGCTCCCCGCTCAGACGCGCCGCCGCTCGACGCAGCAACCGCAGGAGCAGCTCGTAGGCCCGTCTGTTTCAGCGCTTCTCCGGCGCCGGGCGGCGCCGCGCCGCGCCCCGCGCGCCCGCGCGCGCGCGCTTTCGCCCGGCTGCTGCGCGCGTGCTCGGCGGCGGCCTCGGCGCCGCCGCCGCCCGCGCGCCAATCCGCCGAGCTTGATCTCGATCTCTCCGAGGTGGGCGCCGCTCCCGCTGGCGCCTCCGCCGCGCGGAGGTCGCGCAGTTGTCGCTCGTCGCGCGCCGACGCGCATCGCTAAAAACCTTAGGCGAAATGCATGAGCCATCCTATGCTCCGCGTGATCTCAGAGGGTTACCGCGGATTTGTAAGCCCTTTCATTGTGCATCTGACCTCTCCGTTTGCGCCGCGCCATTCCAGCTTTCTTTTGGCACCTCGCCACGCGCGGTCTAATTTCCAGGCAGCGTCGCCCAGTTAGAGGCTGGAGAGCCGCGCGCGTCGCGTCGCACAGCTGACGCGCGCCGACCGACCACCTCGCCAGCAAGACGTATCCGCGCGCGAGGATTGTCATCTCGACGCTATCAGCTATTTCATTTTCCGCGGTGCTGTCGGCGAATTCCAAGTCCCTCGCCTCCGCGTCCTCCATCTCCTTCTCTTTCTGCTCTTCACATTCCACTCCCATCGTCGCCTCGGCTCCGGCCTCGTTCCCGCGCGCGCGATTTTCCGGGCCAGCGCGTCGTTGGCCCGCGCGCGCCCGCGCCCAGAGGCGAGCTGTTCGCGCGCGCAATGCCTGCGAGACAGCTGTCATTCTTGATTGGAAGGCCGAAAATTCCCAATCTGGCCGTTTCTGCATCCACGGGCACGGGGCCGCTTGTTAGCACGAGGAGGCGTTCAACAAATTGTTCTCCCCAGGGCGCTGTGGGAGGTAAACGCAACGATGCTGATCCGAGCGGCTGGGAGATCCCACGGCTTGCGTCGGCATCTGTATTCCGGCTGGGCTTCCCCTCGCGCGCGTCGACGTTTGGGCGAGCGACCTCTCGGCGCAACCCTGTCGCGTTCGCGCCTCGGGCACGTTGCGCCTTAGACTATTCAGGGAGAACAGAAATTGAAACTCGGATGCCGCCCCTCACGACCGCAACGCTTGAACGAAAGTCTGAGTGCCGCCACGCGCGGCATTAAATATTGACCGGTTTGGTGATGATGTTGCAGCTTAGGGGTCGTGCGATGATGATCGTGAAAATATGTTGCTGCTGACAGGATGCCGATGATGATGTTGGCGATTGTTGCGAAGGTGATGATGGGGGGGTGACCTTCAGTGGCTCACTGTTGCGACGAACGCAAACATCAGGCATGCGAGCGCGACGCCATGCCACTAACGCAGCAGAAGGTTTTCCCTAAAGTTCCAACAGTGACGAGTTGACAGTCGAACGGGAGTGCCAGATGACAGACGCCGGATCGCATTTCAAACGCTGCCCGTCGGGTTTGGCCGGCACAGCACCGGCGGAACCTAGCGAAAACAATCCTCACGATAACAAATCGTAGCGATTGCCTCCCTCCCTCAGACAACGGAGCTGGGGATGCATGCGCCATGGCCGTGTCGTGGCGGCCTCGTGCTGACCACAATGAAGCCTCCATGCACGATCTCACAGTGGCGCCAATTGTGAGACCACCAGTGCTTCGACTAGGAAAGTCCCCGGGCCGTCTCGCTTGCGGGTGCTCTCACTGTGGCCTCACCCGTGCTTCCATGCGTGGCCCCACTGTGTGCTCGCTGCAGTCCTCACACGTGGCCCCTCCAGGGAACGTCCGCAAAACGGCACCTCTCTCGCGTGCTCGGCTCGTGGCCGCACTTGTGACTCCACATGTGACCTCACAGTGGAAGCACTTGTGGACTCACATTTGACCCCACCGTGGAACGCCCCCCGAACAGCCCCTCCTCGACTGCTCTCACAGCGGCCGCACTTGTGACTCCACAAGTGACCTGTGGAAGCACTTGGGACCTCACAAGTGACCCCACTGTGGCACGCCCCCCTGGCAGTCCCTCCTCGAGTGCTCCAGCAGTGGCCTCGCTTGTGACCCCGCCAGTGGCCTCGCACAGAGGGACTTGTGACCGCGCAAGTAGCCCCGCTGTGGCCTCATTCAGAAGTCAGGAGCCCATTCTCCTGACTGAAGACAGGCTTGTTCCAATAATGAACGTCGGGAGACGTGCGAGGCCACGACGCAGTGGAAGCACTTGTGGCTTCACAAGTGACCCCACCGTGGAACGCCCCCTGAACAGCCCCTCCTCGAGCGCTCTCACAGCGGCCGCACCTGCGACTCCACAAGTGACCTCACTGTGGAAGCACTTGGGGCCTCACAAGTGACCCCCCTGCAGCGCGTCCTCCTGGCAGCCCCTCCTCCAGTGCCCCCGCAGTGGCCTCATTTGTAACCCCACAAGTGGCCTCGCAAAAGAGGGACTCGTGACCGCGCAAGTGGCCCCACTGTGGCCTCATTCAGAAGTCAGGTGTCCATTCTCTTGACTAAATGCAGGATTGTTCCAATAATGAACGTCGGGAGACGTGCGAGGCCACGACACAGTGGAAGCACTTGTGGCCTCACACGTGACCCCGCCGTGGAACGCCCCCCGAACAGCCCCTCATCGAGTGCTCTCACAGTGGCCGCACTTGTGACTCCACAAGTGACCTCACTGTGGAAGCACTTGGGGCCTCACAAGTGACCCCGCTGCGGCACGTCCCCCTGGCAGTCCTTCCTCGAGTGCTCCAACAGTGGCTTCACTTGTGACCCCGCAATTGGTTTCACATAAGAGGGACTTGTGACCGCAAAAGTGGCCCCACTGTGGCCTCATTCAGAAGTCAGGTGCCCATTCTCCTGACTGAAGGCAGGCCTGTTCCAATAATGAACGCCGGGAGACGTGCGAGGCCACGACGCAGTGGAAGCACATGTGGCTTCACAAGTGACCCCATCGTGGAACGTCCCCCGAACAGCCCCTCCTCGAGTGCTCTCACAGTGGCCGCACTTGTGACTCCACAAGTGACCTACCTCACTGTGGAAGCACTTGGGGCCTCACAAGTGACCCCACTGCGGCACGCCCCCCTGGCAGTCCCTCTTCGAGTGCTCCCAAAGTGGCCTCACTTGTGACCCCACAAGTGGCCTCACAAAAGAGGGATCTGTGCCCGCAAAAGACTACTGTGGCCCCATCCAGAAGTCAGGCGCCCATTCTCTTGACTGAAGGCAGGATTGTTCCAACAATGAACGCCGGGAGACGCGCGAGGCCACGACGCAGTGGAAGCACTTGTGGCTTCACAAGTGACCCCACCGTGGAACGTCCCCCGAACAGCTCCTCCTCGAGTGCTCTCACAGTGGCCGCACTTGTGACTCAACATGCGACCTCACTGTGGAAGCACTTGGGGCCTCACAAGTGACCCCACTGCGGCACGTCCCCCGGACAGTCTTTCCTCGAGTGCCCCCACCCCACAAGTGGCCTCACAAAAGAGGGACTTGTGACCGCGCAAGTGGCCGCACTGTGGCCTCACTCAGAAGTCTGCGGCCCACTCCCCATGCACCGTACTTTCATGTCCCGCTCGCCCGACCCGACGTTTGTGCTGTCGATGGCGATGACGACTAGGGTAGGGATGATGATGGTGATGGTGGTTGTGGCAGCGGTGGTGATGGTGATGATGATGATTCTGTCGATGATGTTGATGGTGATGATGGTGTCCATGATGGTGATGGTGATAGAAAGGAGGATGAGGATGAGGACGAGAAGAGTGTAATGATGTGGCTGAGGATGAGGATTATGAAGATGACGATGACGATGATGATGATGATGATGCTGATGGTGATGCTGATGCTGGTGATGATGATGGTGGTGGAGGTGGAGGTGATGATGATGATGATGGTGATGGTGATGTTGACGATGATGATGATGATGGTGATGATGCTGATGATGAAGTTGATGAACATGATGATCCGACCCGACCCGCCTGTTAGGTCCGCCTGCCCGACCTGACCCGCCCGTCATAGTTCTCGCGTGCTAACTCGATCATGCACCACCCTGTAATGTCATGCCCGCCCGACCCGATGTTTGCGATAGTAATGGCGATTGGGTAGGGACCATGATGGTGATGATCATGATGCTGGTGATGACATGATGATGATGAAGATGCTTATGATGATGGTGATGGTGATTGTAGAGGCCTCTGGCCACTGCCGCCGATCCGGGACGATCCCGCTGTCAGAAGGGCGCTTTCGCCCCAGCGCGCTTGTTCAAACGTAAGCGGTTTGGAAACAGCTTGGAGGCATTGCGTGGGCGTCTTGAGGGGCCTCTACGACGCATCTTCGAGGCCTCCTGGGGGGCGTTGTTCCAGGTGATTGTTGAGCCTCTTGGGGGCCTTTTGGGTTTCTTGGGGGGCATGCAGGAGGCATCCTGGAGGCCTACTGGGGGTGTGTAGGAGGTAATTTTTTAGCCTTCGGGAGCGCTTTGGGGCGCCTTTTGGGGGCCTCTTGAGGGCCACTTGGAGCCTCTCGGGGTTTCTTGGGGAGTCCTAGGGCCATTTGGGTGCCTCCTGGGCGCCTCTTGGGCCGTCTTGGGCCCTTCTGGGGCCGTCATGGAGCCCTCTTGGGCGCTTCTTGGGCCCGTCCTGGGGCCCGCTTGGGCTGTCTTGGGGGCCTCCCGGGCAGTCTTTGGTTCATCTTGGGCCGATTTGGGGCCCTCTTGAGAGCCTCTGGGCCTGTTTTGGGGGTCTCTTGGGCCGTAATGGACACTGCGAAGGCCGACGAAGCGAAAATGCAAAACAACAACAACAAAAAACACGTGTTTCCTAAGGGAATGGGACAGATTTTCAGTCTTTGGGCATTCTTAGGGGGTGTCGGGAGGGTACGTTGGAGGCTTTTGGAGCCGTCTGTGGAACATATTGAGCGTCTTGGAGCGATGTTTCGGGCACGCAGGGCCCTCTTGGGCCGTCTGGGCGGCCGCTGGGTTTTCTTTGAGCCCGCGTTCGAGCTCTCCGGGGCGAGGGGCCGACCCAGAGTGAGCTGGAGCTCGATTTTGCCACCAAAATTGACTCGACCCCCCCTCCCCTACCCCGGCAGAGCCACCCGGGCACCCACCCCCCCAGCAGAGCTGAAGCCCAAGAACTGAGGCTCAGGCTATATCTGAGGTTTTTTGAAACTCACACGCCAGATCGGCGGATCATGGGGATGATGGTGATGTCAATGATGATGCCAGGGATGATGATTTAGGTTGATGATGATGATGATGATGATGATGATGATGATGATGATGATGATGATGATGATGATGATACTGATGCTGCTGCTGCTGATGATGATGATGGTGATGATGATGATGATGATGATGATGATGATGATGATGATGATGATGATAATGATGATGATACTTCGTATGATGATAATGCTGATGCCGATGCTGCTTCTGCTGCTGATGATGATTATACTGATGACTGATGAGTGATGGCTGATGATGGTTTGCCTGCGGCGAGGTTTGCCTGCGGCGAGTGGGGGGGGAAAGTCGTCGGCGTCGTCGCCGTCGCCGTCGTGTCGTCGGCGTCTTCGTTGTGGTCGTCGTAGGCGTCCTTCGCCAGCGGCGAGGAGTAGTAGGGGGTGTCCGAACCCTTTAAGGGGGGGAGAGGGGGGGTCTGGGGAGGGCCTCCCCCGGTTTTTCCGGGCTCGCCGAATGTATGGGGGCGGGGGGGACACCACCAGGCTGGCGTCAGCAAAACGCGTTCCCTCAGAGCCCTCGACCCCCCCCGCACCAGCTCTTCGCCCCAGGCTGCTCTTGATTGCCCCGTGGCTGGCGACACCGGCCCCAGAGGCCCGGAGGCCGCCGTTCCCGAAGCGATGTCGCAGGTTTGTTTTGCCAGAGAACACAAAGCTGCATAAACATAAGTTTTCGGAGGGCCTCGCGGATTTCTTGGATCGGCGGTTGGACCCCCCTGGCGGCGCTTCCGGCGCCGCCCTTGGCGCGCTCCGCGCGCCGGGGAGGGGGGCCCATCGCCGACCCAAGAGATCCGCGCGTACCTCCGAGAAAGTATGTGTATGCCGGCTTTTGTTCCTCCACTTGCACCGGGTGCTACCAGAAGTGCCCGTGCCCCAAGGTGACCCTAGCTTTCCCAGGGAGGCGCAGACGGCTTCCAAAGGACCCCCTCTTGAGGGTCAGAGAGAGCCCAGGAGGCCTCAGAGCGGAGCGAAAAGCTGGAAGCACCGTGGGCCCGGACTGCTCCCATCAACACCCGACTCCGGAAGATGTGGCAGGGGAGGAGGGCAGCGTGGCTGCAGCGCAGGTGCCCAAGGACTGCGTGGGCTTCGTCACGGGCCACAAGGGCGCCTCGCTGCGCGCCGTGGAGGAGGCGACGGGCACGTTCTGCTTCATAGAGGTCGCGGGGCGGGGGCTCGGCTCACCTCGGCGGCGCGCAGATGCTCCATCCTTCGGGCATGGCGTGATGGCGGGATGGTAGAATCGGGAGCGGAAAAGAGGGGGGTGATGACTAGGGGGGGGGTGGTTATCATGGCGCGGGCCATGATTTTTCATCAGATTTCATGGCGCCTCTTCTTCTTTCATTACGTCCCAGGCCCCCCCGCTGGGCCGCGCACATGCCGCCGGTCGTGATTTGCACCCCCCCCCCCTCTTGGACCCCCCCCTCTTGGCCGCTCCCGACAGAAGGGGGGGGGGGGTGAAGAAAGGTGCACCTCTTGTGCCTCAAAGGGGCCAAAGGAGCCCCCTGGGGCCTCCAATGGGCGCGACGGGTGCACGTCTCCCCTTCCAGATGTCGCACCCCCATGAAGCAATGTCCGAATCCTCTTCCTTGTGCGGATGACTTCTCCCTGTCGATCCACAAGGCGTGTCGGAAGGACGATCTGGGCCGTGTGCCTGATACTTCGTCAGCGCTGACGATGTTGGAGCTTGAAGCCTGCGATCGCAACAATGATGGTCCTCTTCAAAACAGGGCCCGCGCCTTACGCGCCGCACACATTCATTCCCAAATCCTATCACATCTACAAGGATTGCGGCGGCGGGCTCTTTCAAGCGTAGCGCAGCGCACATTCGTTTAGCAAGTTTGCAACCATGGAGGGCAACTCCGTTTCAAAAAGGGGCCCTCGTTCTGAATTTCCTCACATCAAACAGTGAGATGTGCTTTAACTTGGCATCGCTCGGACGCGTGCATTTTTCCTTCCGCAAGGACCATCGAGGAGCATCCTTGATCATCTGGCGAAAAGCCACGCACGAAACCGAACAAAAACACAGGGAATGGACGTCCGAGCGATGGCCAGGTCAGCGCTCTCGTCCCCAATGTGGTGCGCCGCGCCGGCGGCCCGCGCAAGCCGCCGCGGAAGGCCGCTGTGCCATCTCGCGCAGGAGCCCTCTCTCTTCGTCGCCCTCCTGGTGGGATGGCTTCTCCCGTGTGCTCCTGCGAACCCCCGCACCCCGCGGGCGCGCGAGGCGCTCCGCTCCCGGAGCGGGGCTCTCGCCCGAGGGGCCCGAGCCCGCGCGCGCCCCGCTCTCCGGAGGGGCGCCCCGTGCAGCGGAGGGGGCGGGCCCGCACCGAGGAGGGGGCCACTGGGACGGGGGGGGGCGGTGCCGCCGCACCGTCGGCACGTCCTGGGCCGGCCCCGCTCCGCATTCCGCCTGCACTCGGCATCGCTCGGACGCGTGCCTTTTTCCCACGGCGAGGGCCGTCGAGGAGCGTCCTGGATCCTTGGGCGGAGAAGCCACGCACGGAGCCGAGAGATCATGGGGCGGAGAAAAAAAAGGCACAGGGAATGGACGTCCGAGCGATGGCCAGCTACGCACTGTTCGTTGCGGATTCTTCGAGAGCTCTTTCTGATCTTCTGGGGGGCCAGGATCCTTTCATGTCTGATTGTTCTACCCCGGGCCTCTCCCTGGCCACCAGGGGGCCAGGAACAGTCAGAAATGAGCACAAGCAGAAACGAACACGGTTAGACATGAACGGCGTGTGCTCCTCCTCGGCGTGTACTCCTCCCCGTAGCCATTTTGGCTCAAGCCATTTTGGCCCGAGCCGTCGGGGCTCCAAAAAGACTGGTGCCGTCCTAGACGACGCCCATCTCCCACGCGCACGGTCTGTAAGCCACACCTTCTGGGCAATGTCGTCCGAGGGCATTACCGTCTCAGGCGCCGAGGAGTACCCCGTCTTCGAGTCGTTCGACGACTACGACCTAAAGGAGGGCCTCCTGCGCGGCATCTACTCATATGGCTTCGAGAAGCCGAGCGCCATCCAGCAGCGCGGCATCAAGCCGATCCTGGATGGGCGCGACACCATCGGCCAGGCCCAATCTGGCACTGGCAAGACGGCCACGTTCGTCATCGGCTGCCTGCAGCGCATCGACTACGACCTGAAGGCGTGCCAGGCGCTGATCTTGGCGCCCACGCGCGAGAGCTGGCCAACCAGATCCAGAAGGTGGCGCTGGCTCTCGGCGACTACCTTCACATCCGCTGCCACGCGTGCATCGGGGGCACGTCTGTGCGCGACGACATCGACAAGCTGAAGGACGGCCAGCACGCCGTCGTAGGCACTCCTGGGCGCGTCTTCGACATGATCGGCAAGCGCCACCTGCGGGTGGACGACCTCATCACTTTCGTCCTCGACGAGGCGGACGAGATGCTCTCGCGTGGGCTCAAGGATCAGATCTACGACATCTTCAAGACCCTGCCTCCCAACGTGCAGGTGTGCCTCTTCTCGGCCACGATGGCGCCCGAGATCCTGGACTTGACCTCCAAGTTCATGCGGGATGCAGTCCGCATCCTGGTCAAGAAGGACGAGCTCACGCTGGAGGGTATACGGCAGTTCTACGTCGCCATCGAGAAGGAGGAGTGGAAGCTTGACACCCTCTGTGACTTGTACGAGACTCTCACTATCACTCAGGCGATCATCGACTGCAACACGCGCCGCAAGGTCGATTTCCTGGCCGACCAGCTCTCCAGGCGTGACTTCACCATCTCGACCATGCACGCTGAGCTGGACCAGAAGGAGCGGGACCTGGTGATGCGCGAGTTCCGCTCTGGCTCCTCCCGCATGCTCATCTCCACCGACCTGCTTGCCAGGGGCATCGACGTGCAGCAGGTGTCGCTGGTGATCAACCTCGACCTGCCGCAGAACATGGAGAACTACCTTGGCCGCAGCGGCCGCTTTGGCCGGAAGGGGGTGGCCATCAACTTCGTCACCAACCAGGATTTCGAAGCCAAAAACTGTATAACCATAAGCTTGAGAGGGTCCGCGCGGAAACCTCGGATTGATGCTGGACCCCCTTGGCGGCGCCTCCAGCGCCGCCCCAAGGGTCCAGCGCCGATCCAAGAATTCCACGCGGACCTCTTGAAGTTCATGCAGATGCAGTTCTTCATCCTCTGAGGACGTCCGCACCACAAAGGACATCGAGAGGCATCACCACACGCAGGTCGAGGAGATGCCCACGGACATTGCGGACCTCATCCGAGCGCGCCGGAAGGGCGCCGCCGCGCGGCCACGCGGCTGCGCGGGCGGTCGCAGCCGAGCTCGCCTCCTCCTCCTCCTCCTCCAAGGGTCCCGTGGCTGGCTGGGCGCAGCCCAGCCGTACGCTGAGGTATGTTCTCTTGGCATCGCTCGGACGCGTGCATTTTTCCTCCGGCGAGGACCATCGAGGAGCATCCTTGATCATTTGGCGAAAAAATCACGCACGAAACTGAAAAAAACACAGGGAATGGACGTCCGAGCGATGGCGAGTTCTTCGATTATTATTATACATATATAACGGCGCACCGGGTCCGGGCGCCCGGGGCCGGCGCCGCTACCACAAATGTGGGCCCCGGGGCCCTGAGGGAGCCCCAGGGCCTCACAGAAGGCGCCAAGGAGGCCCCAAGAGGCTCCAGAACAGACCTGGGACGCCCGAAGGTCGCTCCCAGACGCCCAACATGGCCTCCAAGGCGGCTTCAGAAGCCGCCAAGACACCCCAAGCGACCCCCAATGGGGCCCCAAAGAGAGCTCCAAGGGGCCAACATAGCCCCATTCCCTTCGTAAAACGTATGTTTTAATATATTGCTTGTTTTCGCTGTCGGTTCGGCCCAGGACGCGCCCCAGAGGGCCCCAATACAGCCCCAGAGAGCTCCAGGACGGCCCACGAAGGGCCCAAGACGGCCGCAAATGTGGACCTCGGGGCCCTCAAAAAGCCCCGGGGCCTCACAGAAGGCCGCCAGAAGGCGCCAAGGAGGCCCCAAGAGGCTCCAGAACAGACCCGGGACGCCCGAAGGTCGCTCCCAGACGCCCAACATGGCTCCAAGGCGGCTTCAGAAGCCCCCAAGACACCCCAAGCGACCCCCAATAGGGCCCCAAAGAGAGCCCCAAGGGGCCGAAATAATCCCATTCCCTGCGTAAAACGTATATTTTTAACATATTGCTTGTTTTCGCTGTCGGTCCGTGCTTGACGACCTCTGAAGCTCCCAAGACCGCCCGAAGACGGCCCAAGAGGCGCCCCCGAGGGCCCCAATACGGCCCAAAAGAGCCCCGGGACGGCCCAAGAGGCTCCCAAGACGGCCCAAACGGGCCCTCAAAGGCGCCCAAGAGAAGCCCAAGATTGGGAAATCCAACCGACAATTCGAGCTTTCCGCCAAAAGAGGCATCCCAAACTCATCGAAGTTATCAACAAAAACACAACGCTTCTGGAGCGAGCTGCCGAGGGCATGAAAGGGGCGGCAAAAGGCAAGTCCAAAGGCCAGTAGAAAACACGGCCGGACTCCAGAGCCGGCCCAAAAGATCGTTATGTAAATTTTGATGCCGCCATGGTGGGCAAAGCTACCAGTACTAATCAGGGCAAAGCTACCGTCGTACAGCGGCCCGCGGTCGTTTCACCTTACTTACCAAAGCATTTGTTTGGACATCCCCGCGGACAAAGTTATGGAGGGCGACGTGCTCCACCTTGTCATACATCTTCGGCGACTGCGGCAACTTCCATATTATTACTTCCTCCACTACGTCTACTACCGAATCTTTCTCAACTCCCGCCTCCGCCCGCCCCTCTCCCACCCCCGCCCCCGCCCCCGCCCGCCCCCCCCCCAACCCTGCAGCTCCATTCTCTTGGCACAGACCCCGTCGTCTATGTGCACCGCGTTGCGTCCAACGTCTGGCCACGTGGAACATCGATGGCTTGCGCGGTGATTCCATTGTGAAGCTGGACGAACTTACCCTGATGATGCAACGTCATAGGATCGATGTTTTATGCATACAAGAGACGCATTTGGACGGAGCTGAGCACAATCGAAAAATGGGTTCGATGTGTTCCTTTCGGGCAATTTGGATGCGGGAACACGGAGGTACACTGGAGTTGGTTTTATTATGGATCCAAGCGTATCGACAGCCATTGTTGCCTTCAAAGCCTGCAGCGATCGATTAGCAACGCTTCGAATACGAGTCAAAGGTGGTATGCTCACTCTGATTACCGCTTACGCGCCTCACAGTGGCGCCAACTACGAGTTCGAGGCCCGGCAAAACTTCCACAACGAGTTGCAGGCCGTAATCCGGACCACTATTTTGCACAGTGCCACACTCATCGTTGGTGACTTCAATGCAAAGTTGCACCGAGCACGACCAGGAGAAGACGGTATTATTGGACCGTGCGTGTTCAACCCATCCTTCAACATCGCGGACTTGGCCAGAAATCTGATGGACACCATTTCCAACAGACAGTTGTTTCTTGAAACTTGTGTAACGTGTGATCTTGCAGTTGCAAATTCATGGCATGATCATCCAAACGATATGAAAATAGCATGTCGAAATGTTGGCACGGAGCCGATGTACACTGACATCACGGCATCCAAGTTCTCTCAAATAGATCATGCATTATTTCACCGCGGCACACTTTCAAGTGTGATGGACCGCTGGTCAGATCGGACAGAATCTTTGAGCAGCCGCCATTTCCTTACAATTGCGAATACACATGTCGAGTTTGACACGCAAGGCAAAGCATGCAAACATCAGCTCGATCTCAAGGCCCTGAGCAACAAAGAAATCCAGCGCAAATGTATTGCAGAGTTCGTTGATGCATCGATGCGAACGCCAAGCGCCGACATCTTGGAGATTGCCGCAGAGAACTTGAAGACGGCTTTTGCTCAAGCATCCGCCTGCCTTCCAGCCAGAAGCACAACAGCGAAGCAACCGTGGGCAAATACATCAACGTTGGACCTGATCGGACAGCGCAGTACCTACCGCCAGTCTGGGGACTACGCCAACGAAAAAAGATTCCACGAAGAAATCCAGAAATCCGGGAAGCAAGACCGGGAGAAGTGGCTCATGGATTTGACATCCACTGGATCTTGGGACGCAGTCCGACACTTCCGGAAACCCAGGTCCGCAAAGCATACTACAATCAAGCGCCCACATGGTTCGCTGGGGGACACCGAAGAGAGGCCGAATATCTTGGCAGACTATTACGAGAAGACACAATGGGAATACAAGTTTCCAATTCTTCGGCCAGAATGTGAAGACACATTGGGCAGTACTTTACCTATCGACACAGGGGCCATCAACAGGGTAGAGATGAAAACAGCATTACGAACATTGAAACAAGGCAAGGCCGCTGGAGCTGACGACATACCGCCCGATTTCTGGAAGATGTTGGCGAAAGATGGCACTGCCTGCGGTATACTTCTGGCTATGTGCCGGCAATGCTGGGACCAAGGAAACGATTCCAGAGTCGTGGAGAACCGCAAACGTCGTTTTGCTTTTCAAAAAAAGGTGATGCTGCACTGCCAGCGAACTACAGGCCGATATCTCTGCTGACACTTGGGTACAAGGTCGTCTTGGCGTCTATTTTGCACAACAAGTTGATTCAAGGTGGAGCAGAAGAAATAATGCGAGACTCTCAATTTGGATTCCGACCAAAACGGGGCACGGGCGAGGCTCTGATGATGATCACGCGAATGATCGATGCCGCACACATGAACAACACGGGTGGCATGCTTCTGCTTATGTTGGACTGGTCAAAAGCGTTCGACCGACTCAAACCAGATTGTATGCGCCAAGTTTTGGAAAGGTTTGGTGTACCGCAGTGTTTTGTAAACATGGTGGAATCAATTTATGCGGCCCGTTATTTTATCATTGTAGATCACACGGGCCACTCGTCTCACAGGCAGCAGCGCGCAGGTATAGCCCAAGGGTGTCCCCTGTCGCCATACTTGTTCATCATCATCCAAACAGTTATGCTGCACGATGCGTTTGGTGATCTGCATCTACAACAAGAGCCAGCGTATTTGGGTATCGCGCGACATTCTGTATGCCGACGACACTTTGCTTGCTTCGCAGATCCCGCAACATCTGCAAACAATGCTTGCCGCAATAATGGACGAAGGAATGAAATACGGACTTGAACTCGACTGGGACAAAACATTGCAGATGCAAGGCCGTCAGGCGAAAGCATTAAATTTGTACGAGAAGCGATTTACCTTGGAGGGCCGATTCATGCGATGGCAAAATTGGAGCATAATTGACACGGCGACTGGGGGAGGCCAGCAGGACATTCAAGCAATTGAACAAATTATGGTCTCGCACATCGTTTGGGGTAAGACGAACAGATATCATTTACGAGAGCTGTGTATTAAGCAAGTTGTTGTACTCGCTGGATTCTGTTTGGCTGCTCAAATCCGACAGAATGCCTTTGGGCGCCTTTCATTGCAAATGTTTGCGGCGTCTGCTGGGAATTGCGCCTTAATTCATTTCTCGAGTGACGAATGCAACAATATTGGAGAAAGCGTCTGCCAAACAACTTTCGCAAACATTATTGGCCAATCAAGTGGCGCTGTACAAGAAAATATATAAATCTCCAAATTCTTCAATGGTCAAAGCAGTTCTTTGTAATCCGGATGGCGCTCCGCGCGATTGGGCACTTCGCAGAAAACGTGGCCGCCCTGGGCAGCACTGGGCAGCAGAAGTGTACAAATTCGCACAACATTCGTGAAACGATTTTGCATATATCGCATCATCTTCATCATCTTCCCCTCTTCGTCGTCCTCCCCCCCCCCTCCTGTGCCGGCGCGCGTTTGGCGTGTCTCGTGTTCTCCTTGGCACATGTTTGGCGCGTCAGCTCACCCGCGCTCTTGCACGCATTTGGCGTGTCTGCCCACGCGACCAGACGGACGCAAGGCTTAGTGGTGGTGGTGGCGCCAAAAGAGGCGCCCAGGAGGCCCCAAGAGGCCCAAAAGAAGCCTCAAGAGGCCTCCAAGACGGGGGCGAGGAACCGGAAATTCACACCTTGTGGCCCAAGAGACCCCCAGGAGACCCCAAGAGGCTCCAATAAGGCGGCCACAAGCCCCAAGAGGCCCCCATGAGACCCGAAAAAAACACCAAAAGAGGCCCCGATGACGCCCCAAGAGGCACCCCAATGGAGCCAATTATAAACAATTATTCACTGCGTGGAGCTCCCCATCTGTGCATCTATTCGCATGGACCTGTCCGCCGTGAGTGTATAGGTGCAAGAACTGTCGAATATAAGCGGG